TATAAAACATGAAATAACTTAAAAACACTTGAAATTTTGGAAAGTTTCCAGAGATAATGGAGAGACACAGTGCTCACGAAGAATGTAAACAAACCTGGTGGGGCACGGCGACCATATTAGAAAGTCAGGTGGGGGGAGCTGTATAGCGAGTTTTGGTCATAATTTGAAATGTCCGTATTGGTGGAACGCCATAAAGTGGGGCCCTAACTGTAATCAAATACAAATATTGAAAAGTAAATAAATGAATAAAAGTTATGGATTTGCCTCTTTCATGCTGGGTAATTATCTTAAGATTCATCTCCAGAGTACAGCCTCTCCTCACTTAGCGACGTACTCGTTCACCGATGACTCGGACTTACGACGAGCTCTTTGACCAGTATGCATACTTAAATAATGTATATTATAGCTGATTTCCTCTATTCTTTTTATTACAATATACAGTATACTATTGTATAAACATTTAAAAATATACCAGAAAGGAAGATTGAGACATTTATACAACTTATGGGAATCTTTATTCAGGAAACATTTTGCCACACAGTGGCTTCATCAGTCCAATACAAAGCAAAAAGGTGTAAGGAGAGGAAGAGTTTGAGGTAATCAGTCCCTCAGCCTGGAGTCGATGTGTTCAGTCCATCAGTCTTGTAGAATGTACAGCATAGGACCTGACTACAGTGTATAACCCACGTCTACAGCGCTATGCTGTACATTCTACAAGATTGATGGACTGAACACATCGACTCCAGGCTGAGGGACTGATTACCTCAAACTCTTCCTCTCCTTACACCTTTTTGCTTTGTATTGGACTGATGAAGCCACTGTGTGGCAAAATGTTTCTTGAATAAAGATTCCCATATATTGCATAAGTGTCTCAATCTTTAACTTGTCGGTTTTTTAAACCATTCATCATATACCAGAAATGTTATAAATGGTCCAAAGGTGACATTAAAGCAATATCAAAGATGGTCGACACAAACCCGCTACCATTATAGTATGCTCCTCAAGTAGCGATGAATTCGTTTACCGATGTGGTCTTAGGAACAGAACTGTAATTGCTTTTGCACCATTGTAAAATCAAAATATTGTAATTGGAACCATCATAAGTTGAGGAGCACCTGTAGTGCTAATTTGAATAGTGCAACCCCTGCATGGGGTTCATGATTTACTGTAATAAAGACCTGGCTGTACCACCACAGGATATGTGATGTGTGTGACCTAACACCTGCACCTCTTTTGTGGACAAGAAAGGCCACTGCTTGCATTTGTTCTAGGATCATATATACTGCTTGCCCTGGCCAGCCTGGGATGAGCCACTCCCATGTTTTCTGTTAATGTAGAGTACTGTACATTATTTTTTTGCGTGTATCCGATGTCTTGTATCTGAAGTCCACATGACACTGTAAAGTTAATCTCAGTACTGCTAGGTGGGAGATTCATGTATTTTTTTATTTTGTTTGTGTTTAGTGTGACACATGTGCAACACTTGTGTATTTTTATTCCTGTACAGAGAAAAACAATGGAAGATAAGGAGTTTGAGGTAATCAGTCTTTCAACCTGAAGATATGTTCATTTCATTAGTATTGATAGACTGAACACATCATCTCCAGGCTGTGTGAGCGATTACCTCGAGCTCATCCTCGTCTTCCGCTGTTCTCTGTATCGGACTAATGAAGCCACTTGTTGGTCAAACATTTCCACAATGAAGATATGCAAGTGTTGCAAAAGTGTCTCATTTGTAAACTTGTCATTTTCTGAATCACAAATATAATAATTTTGTTCATGAATGGAACTTCTTGTAAATTAAGTGTCTGAAATGGATTTTGAGGTGTGCATTTTTCTTTGTTTTTCTGTGTGTTTGTGTTTGTTTTGATGAAATGCTCAGGTGTAGGCTGTATGCAAGGGAAGTGCAACTGTCTCTCAATCATTCTCTCTCTGCATGATACTTTTATTTCTAAGTATGTAAAATTCCAATACGTAGATAATTAATCAAAGTGGGATGAGGTTCGTATTAAGTATTAACTAGTACATAAGAATACTATTATAAGTATATGAGTAATAAGCATTTGCAAAGGAATCATGGATGCACATGCAGAAAACTAATTTTTTTTTTCAAAATATTTTGTACAGTTTGTATATATAAATACACATATATTTAGTACAGTACTTAAAATTAATATCTTCAAGTACAGGGAGTCGCCACCTTATGAACTCCCTTGCTACTAACATTCTCACTTACAAATTGTTGAAAAGTATACTTATAAAAAATTATTTTATTAATGCTGATCTACGGTCATGAACATGTGACACCAAATCCTCCTTTGTACTAGTACAGTGGACCCCCGCTTTACGATATTATTTCATTCCAGAAGTATGTTCAGGTGCCAGTACTGACTGAATTTGTTCCCATAAGGAATATTGTGAATTAGATTAGTCCATTTCAGACCCCCAAACATACACATACAAACACACTTACATAAATACACTTACATAATTGGTCGCATTGGGAGCTGATCGTAAACCGGGGGTCCACTGTATGTTGTATTGGAGGCTAAGTTGTGAGGTGGAAGGCACTGTTCTGTGAGCTGCAACACTAGGAATGCTATGCATTCATAAGTTTGGGACCCCTGTATTTTATATCTGGTATAGTGTCTAAAGTGTTACATTTGGCTTATTTTTGGTTTGAAGTTTTCCCTTGTTACATCTTCAAGTGTACAGAATTGTGTAGTTTGTAAATACCATAATCATTCTGTCATCCACTGCCTCAACTCTGCTGATGATGTCTGCCTTGCGTGGTTTGCTGGACAGGTCCAAGGAGGTGACAACGCGCATTTTCAGGTTTGGGTGTGGGGCACAGGTCCTTGTCTTGCCTTAGGGTCGACTGAAGCCACCATGCTGAGACCACAGCCAATTGAGGAGTTGGCAGGATTGCGGATTGTGGATATATCTGCTGGAGACTCCCATGTGATGGCACTAACACACGAGTCTGAGGTGAGAATTCTTAATATTTTTCTTGCAGGTAGGGGTCGGGGTCGCCCCAGGAAAGGTTGGGGGGAGGGGGTAAAATAAGTTTTGTATGCAATGGGCTTGGACATGCAGCAGGCATGTGCAAGCATGTTAGATAGGGAATGGAGGCGAATGGTTTTTGGGACCTAACGAGCTGTTGGAGTGTGAGCAGGGTAATATTTTGTAAAGGGATTCAGGGAAACCAGTTAGCCAGACACGAGTCCTGGAGGTGGGAAATAAAGTGCCTGCACTCTGAAGGAGGGGTGGAGATATGTTGCAGTTTTTGAGCTGTATTATTGTCATGCCTCTGGCAAGACATTGATGAAGTGAGTGATGATAAAAATGTATTTTCTTTTTTGGGTCACTTTGCCTTAATGGGAAATGGCCAGTGTGATGATAAAAAAAAAATTGTAATCTAACAAATATTACTCTTGAAAATTATTGCTTATAATAAAATTATTTCAGGACATGATGCCTCCCACTATCGCCCCATCGCTCTTACTAGTGCAGTTTGCAAAGTGATGGAACGTCTCGTAAATCGACGTTTAATGTGGTATTTAGAGACACACAACAGTCTCTCCGCTAGTCAATATGGCTTTTGTAAGGGTCGTTCTACCATAGACCCCTTACTACGCTTGGATATGTATGTTCGTAATGCTTTTGCGAATAATCACTCAGTTATTGCCATATTTTTTGACCTTGAGAAGGCATATGACACAACTTGGAGGTATAATATTTTGGCCCAGGCCCATTCTTTAGGCCTCCAAGGCAATCTACCATCCTTCCTTAAGAACTTTTTAACCGACAGACATTTCCGTGTTCGAGTCAATAATGTTCTTTCCCCGGACTTCGTCCAAGCTGAAGGTGTCCCTCAGGGATGTGTTCTAAGCACAACACTTTTTCTCCTTGCTATAAATGATTTGGCCTCTGTTCTTCCACCCAATATTTGGTCATCACTCTGTTGATGACTTCGCTATTGCTTGTGCAGGCGCTGACTGTCATCTTATTGCAGTTTCTCTCCAGCATGCGGTCGACCGTGTTTCCACTTGGGCCACCATGCATGGGTTTAAATTTTCAAGTATCAAAACTCACCAAATTACTTTCACTAGACGCTCTGTTATTTCCGATCATCCTTTGTATCTCTATGGCTCCCGTATCCCCGAACGTGATAGTCAGGTTTCTAGGCCTTCTCTTTGACCGTCGATTATCCTGGAAACCTCGCATAACCTCTCTGAAGGCAACTTGTCACAGCTGGCTAAACCTTCTTAAAACCCTTGCTCATCTTTCCTGGGGAGCTGATCGTCGAACTCTGCTTCGCCTACATTCAGCCCTCGTTTTATCGAAACTCGATTATGGTGACCAGATTTATTCCGCGGCCTCTCCTGCTACTCTCTCTAGCCTTAACTCTATCCATCACCAAGGATTACATTTGTGCCTTGGTGCTTTTCGCCCTTTCCCTGTTGAGAGCCTCTATACAGAAGCGAATGTTCCATCCTTGTCTGATCGCCGTGATTCCCATTGCCTTCGCTACTATGTACGCTCTCACGATCTACACAATCCTTCCATTTATAGAATGGTCACCGATATTAGTAGACATTCTTTATTCATTCGCCGCCCCTGTTTGCTCCGTCCCTTTTCGCCTACATTCACTCTTGTCTTCCCTTCAGTTACCACCTTTATATGTTCATGTAGCATCTCACTTTTCCCTACCCCCCTGGGAAGTTCCAGCTGTTCGGGTCTGTTCTTTCTCACTCCCTTGCTCGAAAGCTCAACTGCCTACGGTGGCTTCCCGCTCTCTTTTTCTTGATCACTTCCACTCCCATTCTCATGCCACCGCTGTGTACACAGATGGCTCTAAGTCTTCAGACGGCGTCGGATTCGCAGCAGTGTTTCCGGACAGCGTCGTGCGGGGACATTTACTATCTTAGCTAGCATTTTTACTGCTGAACTGTATGCCATTCTTGCAGCACTTATTCGTATCGCATCTATGCCTGTGTCATCATTTGTAGTAGTCTCAGACTCCCTTAGTGCTCTACAGGCTATAAGAAAATTTGATACATCTCATCCCCTAGTTCTCCGTATCCAACTTTGGCTACGCCTTATCTCTACCAAACATAAAGATATTGTTTTTTGATGGGTCCCTGGTCATGTCGACGTACAGGGCAATGAACAGGCAGACACTGCTGCGCGGTCAGCAGTACATGACCTACCAATTTCCTATCGAGGTGTTCCATTTCTGGACTATTTTGCTGCAATAGCTACCCACCTTCGCACCCGTTGGCAACAACGTTGGTCAACTCTACTCAGTAACAAACTTCATTCTAATAAACCGAGCATAGGTTACTGGCCGTCTTCTTGTCATCAGTGCCGAGGTTGGGAGACCACTCTCTCCCGCCTTCGCATTGGTCACACTCGTCTTACTCATGGGTATCTCATGGAGAGGCACCCTGTTCCTCTCTGTGAGCAGTGTCAAGTTCAGTATCGATTAGCCACATTCTGTTAGACTGCCCTCTCTATCAACGAGCACGCAGAATTTACCTCCAACGTCGTCTTCGTTCTACTACTCTCTCTTTACCTTCCCTCCTTGCTGATGGACCCTCCTTTAATCCTGACTCTCTCATTGACTTCTTGACAACGACTGATTTACTCCACAAACTCTGATGATACTTTTCGCACTCCCCTCAGCCCTTTCTAGTTCAGTCTCTTGCTGCCCTTTACCCTTTCACCATCCACTGCCCCGCTGTTATCCGTAACCTATTACTCATCTATCTTCCTTTTTGCCACCTGATGCCCTTGCTTCCTTCCTGCCCTGCAGCGCTGTATAGTCCTTGTGGCTTAGCGCTTCTTTTTGATTATAATAATAATAATAATAATAATAATAATAATAATAAAATTATTGTATGGGTTTTATTCTTAACAATTGCTTGGAAAAATTATTTCCACTTAATCCTAGAGAGGTATACTTCTAGAAATAGTCTTAATTTGTTATACCCAGGTATGTTGTACCCAACGAGGACAAATATTAACATATACAGCCATGTCTCAATTAGTTCTTCAGTTAGTGCGAATTTTGATTTGTCGCAAAATTAATTAATGCTATCCTCTCCCCCATACTCTTCAAATCACGTTAAAAAATTACACGTAACTTGAATAGTGCAAATTTGAATAATGTGACAGCTTCACAGGATTCATTATTTGCACTAATTGACCCACACCTGTGAATACCTGACCGGACTTGAGTCCTGGAAGTGGGAAGTACACTGCCTACACTCTAAGTGTCAGCATGCCTCTGGCAAGACACCGATAGATTGAGTGATGATGAGTGTTTTTTTCTTTTCAGTCATGCTTCCTTGGTGGGAGATGGATGATGTGTTAATAAAAAAAATAAATGCACGAGAGTGCTTAGGTGTTCCATTCCATTAATTTATCACTGATACTTTTTCACAGTTCATCAGAATTTATCGAATAAATATAACCTAATTTTGTAAAAATCATGGTTACTTTGAAAATAAAATTTTTTTAATAAGCTTAAATCATAAATATTTATATTTATTTATTACTTCTGATAAATCTCAAACATCGAGTTGTATTCAACATGCACTTACCTTTTTTTTTTTTTCTTTATTCCTGTAATAGTGGTGAAGCAATGTAAAAAGAGAGCAAATCAGAGAGTGGGTGAGATGTTATCAACAAATTTTGTTGAAAATAAGAAAAAATTTTGGAGTGAGATTAACAAGTTAAGAAAGCCTAGAGAACAAATGGATTTGTCAGTTAAAAATAGGAGAGGAGAGTTATTAAATGGAGAGTTAGAGGTATTGGGAAGATGGAGGGAATATTTTGAGGAATTGTTAAATGTTGATGAAGATAGGGAAGCTGTGATTTTGTGTATAGGGCAAGGAGGAATAACATCTTGTAGGAGTGAGGAAGAGCCAGTTGTGAGTGTGGGGGAAGTTCGTGAGGCAGTAGGTAAAATGAAAGGGGGTAAGGCAGCTGGGATTGATGGGATAAAGATAGAAATGTTAAAAGCTGGTGGGGATATAGTTTTGGAGTGGTTGGTGCAATTATTTAATAAATGTATGGAAGAGGGTAAGGTACCTAGGGATTGGCAGAGAGCATGCATAGTTTCTTTGTATAAAGGCAAAGAGGACAAAAGAGAGTGCAAAAATTATAGGGGGATAAGTCTGTTGAGTATACCTGGTAAAGTGTATGGTAGAGTTATTATTGAAAGAATTAAGAATAAGACGGAGAATAGGATACCAGATGAACAAGGAGGCTTTAGGAAAGGTAGGGGGTGTGTGGACTAGGTGTTTACAGTGAAACATATAAGTGAACAGTATTTAGATAAGACTAAAGAGGTTTTTGTGGCATTTATGGATTTGGAAAAGGTGTATGACAGGGTGGATAGGGGGGCAATGTGGCAGATGTTGCAGGTGTATGGTATAGGAGGTAGGTTACTGAAAGCAGTGAAGAGTTTTTACAAGGATAGTGAGGCTCAAGTTAGAGTAGGTAGGAAAGAGGGAGATTATTTCCCAGTAAAAGTAGGCCTTAGACAAGGATGTGTGATGTCACCGTGGTTGTGTAATATATTTATAGATGGGGTTGTAAAAGAAGTAATTGCGAGGGTCTTGGCAAGAGGCGTGGAGTTAAAAGGTAAAGAATCACACATAAAGTGCGAGTTGTCACAATTGCTCTTTGCTGATGACACTGTGCTCTTGGGAGATTCTGAAGAGAAGTTGCAGAGGTTGGTGGATGAATTTGGTAGGGTAGGTAAAAGAAGAAAATTAAAAATGAATACAGGAAAGAGTAAGGTTATGAGGATAACAAAAAGATTAGGTGATGAAAGATTGGATATCAGATTGGAGGGAGAGTATGGAGGAGGTGAATGTATTCAGATATTTGGGAGTGGATGTGTCAGCAGATGGATCTGTGAAAGATGAGGTGAGTCATAGAATTGACGAGGGGAAAAGGGTGAGTGGTGCACTTAGGAGTCTGTGGAGACAAAGAACTTTGTCCTTGGAGGCAAAGAGGGGAATGTATGAGAGTATAGTTTTACCAATGCTCTTATATGGGTGTGAAACATGGGTGATGAATGTTGCAGTGAGGAGAAGGCTGGAGGGAGTGGAGATGTCATGTCTGAGGGCAATGTGTGGTGTGAATATAATGCAGAGAATTCGTAGTTTGGAAGTTAGGAGGAGGTGCGGGATTGCCAAAACTGTTGTCCAGAGGGCTGAGGAAGGGTTGTTGAGGTGGTTCGGACATGTAGAGAGAATGGAGCGAAACAGAATGACTTCAAGAGTGTATCAGTCTGTAGTGGAAGGAAGGCGGGGTAGGGATCGGCCTAGGAAAGGTTGAAGGGAGGTGGTAAAGGAGGTTTTGTGTGCGAGGGGCTTGGACTTCCAGCAGGCATGCATGAGCATGTTTGATAGGAGTGAATGGAGACAAATGGTTTTTAATACTTGACGTGCTGTTGGAGTGTGAGCAAAGTAACATTTATGAAGGGGTTCAGGGAAACCGGCAGGCCGGACTTGAGTCCAGGAGATGGGAAGTACAGTGCCTGCACTCTGAAGGAGGGGTGTTAATGTTGCAGTTTAAAAACTGTAGTGTAAAGCACCCTTCTGGCAAGACAGTGATGGAGTGAATGATGGTGAAAGTTTTCCTTTTTCGGGCCACCATGCCTTGGTGGGAATCGGCCAATGTGTTAATAAAAATAATAAAAAATATTTATTTTTATTTTTTTTATTATCACACCGGCCGATTCCCACCAAGGCAGGGTGGCCCGAAAAAGAAAAACTTTCACCATCATTCACTCCATCACTGTCTTGCCAGAAGGGTGCTTTACACTACAGTTTTTAAACTGCAACATTAACACCCCTCCTTCAGAGTGCAGGCACTGTACTTCCCATCTCCAGGACTCAAGTCCGGCCTGCCGGTTTCCCTGAATCCCTTCATAAATGTTACTTTGCTCACACTCCAACAGCACGTCAAGTATTTAAAAACCATTTGTCTCCATTCACTCCTATCAAACACGCTCACGCATGCCTGCTGGAAGTCCAAGCCCCTCGCACACAAAACCTCCTTTACCCCCTCCCTCCAACCCTTCCTAGGCCGACCCCTACCCCGCCTTCCTTCCACTACAGATGATACACTCTTGAAGTCATTCTGTTTCGCTCCATTCTCTCTACATGTCCGAACCACCTCAACAACCCTTCCTCAGCCCTCTGGACAACAGTTTTGGTAATCCCGCACCTCCTCCTAACTTCCAAACTACGAATTTCTGCATTATATTCACACCACACATTGCCCTCAGACATGACATCTCCACTGCCTCCAGCCTTCTCCTCGCTGCAACATTCATCACCACGCTTCACACCCATATAGAGCGTTGGTAAAACTATACTCTCATACATTCCCCTCTTTGCCTCCAAGGACAAAGTTCTTTGTCTCCACAGACTCCTAAGTGCACCACTCACTCTTTTTCCTCATCAATTCTATGATTCACCTCATCTTTCATAGACCCATCCGCTGACACGTCCACTCCCAAATATCTGAATACGTTCACCTCCTCCATTACTCTCTCCCTCCAATCTGATATTCAATCTTTCATCACCTAATCTTTTTGTTATCCTCATAACCTTACTCTTTCCTGTATTCACCTTTAATTTTCTTCTTTTGCACACCCTACCAAATTCATCCACCCAAACTCTGCAACTTCTCTTCAGAATCTCCCAAGAGCACAGTGTCATCAGCAAAGAGCAGCTGTGACAACTCCCACTTTGTGTGTGATTCTTTATCTTTTAACTCCACGCCTCTTGCCAAGACCCTCGCATTTACTTCTCTTACAACCCCATCTATAAATATATTAAACAACCACGGTGACATCACACATCCTTGTCTAAGGCCTACTTTTACTGGGAAAAAATTCCCCTCTTTCCTACATACTCTAACTTGAGCCTCACTATCCTCGTAAAAACTCTTCACTGCTTTCAGTAACCTACCTCCTACACCATACACTTGCAACATCTGCCACATTGCCCCCCTATCCACCCTGTCATACGCCTTTTCCAAATCCATAAATGCCACAAAGACCTCTTTAGCCTTATCTAAATACTGTTCACTTATATGTTTCACTGTAAACACCTGGTCCACACACCCCCTACCTTTCCTAAAGCCTCCTTGTTCATCTGCTATCCTATTCTCCGTCTTACTCTTAATTCTTTCAATTATAACTCTACCATACACTTTACCAGGTACACTCAACAGACTTATCCCCCTATAATTTTTGCACTCTCTTTTATCCCCTTTGCCTTTATACAAAGGAACTATGCATGCTCTCTGCCAATCCCTAGGTACCTTACCCTCTTCCATACATTTATTAAATAATTGCACCAACCACTCCAAAACTATATCCCCACCTGCTTTTAACATTTCTATCTTTATCCCATCAATCCCGGCTGCCTTACCCCCTTTCATTTTACCTACTGCCTCACGAACTTCCCCCACACTCACAACTGACTCTTCCTCACTCCTACAAGATGTTATTCCTCCTTGCCCTATACACGAAATCACAGCTTCCCTATCTTCATCAACATTTAACAATTCCTCAAAATATTCCTTCCATCTTCCCAATACCTCTAACTCTCCATTTAATAACTCTCCTCTCCTATTTTTAACTGACAAATCCATTTGTTCTCTAGGCTTTCTTAACTTGTTAATCTCACTCCAAAACTTTTTCTTATTTTCAACAAAATTTGTTGATAACATCTCACCCACTCTCTCATTTGCTCTCTTTTTACATTGCTTCACCACTCTCTTAACTTCTCTCTTTTTCTCCATATACTCTTCCCTCCTTGCATCACTTCTACTTTGTAAAAACTTCTCATATGCTAACTTTTTCTCCCTTACTACTCTCTTTACATCATCATTCCACCAATCGCTCCTCTTCCCTCCTGCACCCACTTTCCTGTAACCACAAACTTCTGCTGAACACTCTAACACTACATTTTTAAACCTACCCCATACCTCTTCGACCCCATTGCCTATGCTCTCATTAGCCCATCTATCCTCCAATAGCTGTTTATATCTTACCCTAACTGCCTCCTCTTTTAGTTTATAAACCTTTACCTCTCTCTTCCCTGATGCTTCTATTCTCCTTGTATCCCATCTACCTTTTACTCTCAGTGTAGCTACAACTAGAAAGTGATCTGATATATCTGTGGCCCCTCTATAAACATGTACATCCTGAAGTCTACTCAACAGTCTTTTATCTACCAATACATAATCCAACAAACTACTGTCATTTCGCCCTACATCATATCGTGTATACTTATTTATCCTCTTTTTCTTAAAATATGTATTACCTATAACTAAACCCCTTTCTATACAAAGTTCAATCAAAGGGCTCCCATTATCATTTACACCTGGCACCCCAAACTTACCTACCACACCCTCTCTAAAAGTTTCTCCTACTTTAGCATTCAAGTCCCCTACCACAATTACTCTCTCACTTGGTTCAAAGGCTCCTATACATTCACTTAACATCTCCCAAAATCTCTCTCTCTCCTCTGCATTCCTCTCTTCTCCAGGTGCATACACGCTTATTATGACCCACTTCTCGCATCCAACCTTTACTTTAATCCACATAATTCTTGAATTTACACATTCATATTCTCTTTTCTCCTTCCATAACTGATCATTTAACATTACTGCTACCCCTTCCTTTGCTCTAACTCTCTCAGATACTCCAGATTTAATCCCATTTATTTCCCCCCACTGAAACTCTCCTACCCCCTTCAGCTTTGTTTCGCTTAGGGCCAGGACATCCAACTTCTTTTCATTCATAACATCAGCAATCATCTGTTTCTTGTCATCCGCACTACATCCACGCACATTTAAGCAACCCAGTAGGCCTGGTCCAAGATGGCTGTTTGGGAGAAGGGGGTGTATTTAAGTAGGCCTGGTCTGAGATGGCTGTTTTGGGATGTATTAAGTAGGCTTGATCTGAAGTGGCTTGGGAGGGGGGAGGGAATACCTTAATACCTTTACCATTTGAAGGATTTCATGAGTTTGTGTGCTGTATCCTGGCCCTGTGCCAGGCTGATCAGGTACTTGCCTGGTCAACCAGGCTGTTGCTGCTGGCACACTGTTGCCCCACATATATCCTTTACAGTTTGGTTGATCTGACAGGTGATGATCCTGGGAAAAATTAACAGTTTAAGAAAATATTTCAGGTTTATGCCTGGGGTTCAAATACAATGGGTCAGTGTGGGCAGGGTCATACGGTATCGCCCATTCAGCAGCCCAAGAAAGTGATGGGACTGGATGTTGCTGTTCACCAGATTAGTGCTGGAACCACTCACTCCATAGCCTGGACTGCCATACCCACAGACAGGTAAGATGGTTATAATATGATGCAAACTGTCTTATGAAACTATTATATATACAGTAGAACTCCAGTATTCACTGAGTCAGTATCCCCAGTTTACTGTGGCCCAAAAATACCTCATAATTTTGCATAATAATGGCCCCAAAGTGCAAAAATAGAAAAGCAGGCAGTTCTTCAAAGCCTAAGAGAAGTCATGAAGTGCTTCCCATCAGTGAAGAGATGATACTTCTCCACTTGTGTATAATTTATCAATTAAACTTTCTAATAGGTATGTACAGTGGACCCCCAGTTAACAATATTTTTTCATTCCAGAAGTATGTTCAGGTGCCAGTACTGACCGAATTTGTTCCCATAAGGAATATTGTGAAGTAGATTAGTCTATTTCAGACCCCCAAACATTCACGTACAAACGCACTTACATAAATACATTTACATAATTGGTCGCATTGGGAGGTGATCATTAAGCGGGGGTCTACTGCATAGGACTTGTATATAAAATGCATTTGAAAAGGTGTATTCAGAAATGAATAGTACTTACTATGAAAGACTTGTAATTTTTTTATTCAGTCTTGAACTCACTTTTTCAATTAAATTCACAAAAAGTCACACTTTATAAAGCTTTATAAGAGCTTACTGTTGACTAATTTCATGATTACTTATTTGTGATTGCATATTTATGATTAGTATTTTCAGTAACCTGATTTAATAAAATAATGGGGAGAATGGGTGGCTGGTAATGGTGATTGTAATGATTATTGATACTGTTTGCCATGATTATAACATTACAGGGCAGTTATGTAACAGACAGATTTTGTTCCTTTGTTTCTGAGTTGGTTGATCCAGTGGACTCTGTCCCATATTTTTGGTCTAACCGAGGCGTGTTAAAGGTTTTCATCTGTGATTAGGGTAGATAGATACGAACTTTGCCAGATATGTGTAGTATACAAAGAAAAAATACACATTGCAGAACTTTTATTAAAGGTTTTCATCTGTGATTAGGGTAGATAGATACGAACTTTGCCAGATGTGTGTAGTATACAAAGAAAAAATACACATTGCAGAACTTTTATTAAAGGTTTTCCTCTGTGTAAAATTTGTTATAAAATGTTCCAATAAGACTTTCTGGAATGAGTTTATTTTTTTCACACTACCAGGATAAGATTCAGAACAGTGCAAGCCCAGCAGCTGCAACTCATCCTTGTAAATTGAATAGGTAATTACACAAGTACAGTAAAACCCCTGTATCTGCGGATTCGGTTTCCACGGTTACAGTTATTCGCAGTTTACCGTGGCCTGAAAATAACTCTTAATTTTGCTTAATAATGGCAACAAAGCGCAAGAGTACTGATGGTGGCAGTTCTTCAAAGACTAAGAGAAGCTGTGCACTTGCTTCCCATCAATGAAAATAGTGTTAGTTCTCCATTTATTGTGCATACTTTGTCACTTAAACTTTATTGTAGGTGCGTATGTAAATGAAAAATGACTTGTATGTATAGAGTTTGCTACTGTCCATGGTATCAGGTATCTTGGAATGTATCCCCCCACAGAGATCAGGGGACTGTGGTAAATGCAGCCCTTACAGACATGAACTGCCTCAAACACAAACAGAATTACAAATATCTTCTTATATCTTAGGCATTACGGTCACCTCACGTTACCACAGTCAGCAAAAGTGCCGTATAAAATAGTTGCTAATCTGTATCGTGCTCGGGAAACGTTGAACATCTTGGTTATGCTCGTGGTAGAGCTTGAAATTGACTTGATGAAGCTCTATTCTGAGTGAGTAAAAAGTTTGGGCACCTGTCACTAGCAACTTCCTTGCTAAGAGCTTCGACAAACCTCACATCTACCCTGAGTGAAACAGTGTAGGTGCTCCTCAACTTACGAGTGGTTTATGCTCCAGTGAACCCATCATAAGTTGAAAATATCATAAGTCAGATATGACTATATGATATATACTGCCACTGAATAAGTGAATAAACAAATAATTACTGTAACTAAATACCAGTATTGAAAAGTACAGTAGATTGTCATTTAGCATGGTAGTTATGTTCCTGAAAACACCGTGTTAGGTAAAAATTGTGTTAGATGAGCTGAAGAACTTACAGAAAAATAGGGTTACATTCCTGGGAGCCCCCAAAAAGCCAAACAACTTTTTTTTAGGCCTCCACATCTTACAAAAATAAAAGTGAATATGTAATTGTCATTCATTGTTGTGATGTATTATGTTGTTTTTACTGCTTAAGACTACAAATGCAACAGAAATAATAGTATTTCTTACATTAAATTGTGGGTGCTGGTGTTTGTGGATGATTGTGAAGAGAGTGGAGAGTTATGTTGTGGTCGTACTGGGCTGAGGTGGATGGTAGAGGTTCTGGTACTGAAGTTGATGGTTGTACTGGAGTGTCTATCTTTGTCATTCAATAAGTCAGTCAGCCACACAAACTCATGTTTACCTCTTTTTTTTCTGTGTACAAAGTAACACTTCATTATGGCTACAGGTTATCTCTTGTCTTTTATCTTTGTTTCTTTGTTAATTCTAAGACTTGAATGCTTATACCTGTTTTTGCCACTTTCATCAACACTGGTATGGCTGAACATTAAAATGGTATAAAATACCTAACAACTGGTATGGCTACTGGGTGTCATGATTGCTTGGCAGATAAAAGATATAGTAATTAAAATATACACAATTCACAAATACAGCTAGCTTGTAGCAGAGAAAGAATTGACACGTATGAAATATGAACGCTGGGATGGTGGGGTGGTGTTGGGGGTGGCAGGGGATAGCGGGAGGGCTCCTTGGCTGCTCCACAACAAGGCGGCCACTTGAGCAAAAGAGAATTTATTTTCCTTGTCACACATTGAACCGTGTTAAATTAATTTTATGTGGTGTTACATAAAATTTTGCTGCAGTTCTTCAGTCATGCAATACCCAAATCATGCCAAATAAACTCGTGCTAAATGACAGTCTACTGTAAGTAAATGTATAAAAGTTTATCCTGATAGCATTCAGGATGTTAAAATCTTTCCAAAATTCTCAGAGCGTTTGGCCGCTAACGCACCATTGTAAAGTTGAAATATCATAAGTCGAACCATCGTAAAGCAAGAAGCGGGTATGTGTGATAAAGGTTTACTCTATTTACGAATATGTAAAACTTGCGATTTCTTTCTCTTAATAGACGTGTGGTATCATGGCATCGTCCTTTCTGTGTTGATCTCCAAGAAGGTACTTTTTCTCTCCTGAGAACCTTCATTGAACTCTACTGCTGCTTTGATGACTTGGAGAAACCAATCAAGCCATTTGCTTCTTTAAGGTAAGATACAAGAAATTCTCCTTTAAGGTAAGGTACAAGAAATTCCCCTTTAAGGTAAGATACAAGAAATCCAACTTAAAGATAGGTACAAGAAAGCCCTCAACTTACAAGTTGCATTCTTATTTTTCAACAAAGAAAACAAGCTGTTTTTATATAAAACTGTACAACAAGTGATGGCTTTGTTTCACATACGTACATTCTGCAGCTCGGCAGTTGTAACCTGAAATGTTTGTAAATTGGGGTTCTTCTGTATTTTAAGTTTAGCAAATCATTGGATCATAGGGATGTTTACTGCACGTAAGAGATAGCTTTCCTCTTGTAATTTTATTGTTACAGCTGTTAAATTAAAAAACTATTATTGTTTTATGAATATTTTTGTTAATATGATAACCTTCCTCTTGTAACTTCATTATATCTCTGTTAAATAAGGAATCTTTTATTATTTCATGAACATTTCTGGGAATGGGTAATATTTTGTGAAGGGATTCAGGGAAACTGGTTGGCCAGACTTGAGTTCTGGAGGTGGGAAGTACAATGTCTGCACTTTAAAAGGGGTGTTTGGAATATTTGCTGTTTGGAGTGACATTTAACCTGTTGTATCTGGGCACCTCTGGCAAGACAGTAATAGTGTGAATGATGGTGAAAGTGTTTTCTTTTTCAGGTCACCCTGCCTTAGTGGTAGATGGCCAGTGTGTTAAAACAAAAACACAAAATTTTAATAATTAAATACTGTAGTAAAGTATATTAACTGCAAAGTATATTTAACCCTTTGAGGGTTTCGGACGTACTAGTACGGCTTACGCGCAGGGGTTTTTGACGTACTAGTATGCATAAATTCTAGCGCCATCAAATCTCGTGGGAAAAGGCTGGTAGGCCTAGATGTGAGAGAATGGGTCAGTGTGGTCGGTGTGCGCAGTAGAAAAAAAATCTGGGACCCAGTGGTGCATTTTGGGAATGCCATCTTAGTAAACAATGTCCACCATGCCTCGCGGTAAGAAGCTCCTCACTCCTCGGCGAATTGGGACGCTTTTGTTCCCCAGTGACAGTTTTAATACAGATGGAAGTGCCAGTGAAGATGAGTTTCAAGGTTTTGGTGAGGTTTTGACCGAAACTAATGGTCATAATATCGGTAATAGTGAGGAAAACCCAGACGACCCTCAGCCTTCCTCCTCTGTTGCTGGGCCGTCTTGTTCACGTTCAGTTGTACCAGAATCCAAGAGGAAACTTCCATTTTCCCATATCCCAGACTCAGATGAGAGCATGTGTGATGATAGTGATAGTGAATATGAACTACAAGCTCTTCAAACTAGTTCCAGTAGTGATAGTGAAGTGCAATATTCCCCAGTGAAGCGTCAGTATATACAACGATATATGCGCTCTGGTAGTGTGCCATATGCTATTCCAAGGGGAAGGAGTGCATCTCGGAGTACATCCCGTGGCTGTACAACAGGAACACAGTGAAAATGACGATGATACTGTTGCAATTGGGCTGGAAAATGTGCGTGGTGGTAGTGGTGTTGGCGGTGAGGCACCAGCAGTGGGCCATGCTGCCACCCACGCTGCCACCCACGCTGCTGCCTCAGCTGATCTACAACAAAGGCCACCATCCCCCACCCACCCACCACACCAGCCTCCACAACCACAACCTCCACAACCACAACCACCTGTCATTGTCCAGTACCCACCAGCAGACCGCACCTGGGATTGGCAGGAAGCTGTCAATTTTGTTCCAAATCCCACCCAGTTTGATGACAGCCAAAGTGGAATACGGCCATCTTGTACACTTGGGAACAATGCCACTGAACTGGAATGTTTCGAGTTATTCTTTGACGAACCCCTGATGGAAAGTATTGTCATGGAAAGCAACACATACTACGAGTACACCATGGCAAACGCATTACTTTCACCAAAATCACGTCTACACCAGTGGAAGGAGGCAACTGTGGCTGAGATGTATCTTTTCTTTGCCACAATAATGCTTATGCCACATGTGTATAAGCACAAAGTGAAATCATACTGGTCAACAGACCGCCTGATTGCAACCCCAGGTTTCAGTGATATAATGCCAGTGAATCGATTTGTGCTAATGTTACGTATGCTTCACTTCTCAGACAAAACCAGGCCTGACAGAACTGACAGGTTATATAAGATTAGGAATGTGTTTGTGTATCTGACGAGTAATTGACGAGTCTTTGATTCTGTTCAAAGGAAGGCTCTCTTTCAAGCAGTACATACCAAGCAAGAGGAAATGCTTTGGTATAAAGTTTGTGCTTTGTGATTGTTACAGTGGTCTGGTATTGGATATTATTGTGTACACTGGAAGTTATACATTGCAAAATACCAGGAAGTTATTGGGCATCTCAGGTGATGTGGTTAGAACAATGATAGAACCATACCTTGGTAAGGGGCATATATTATATACAGGTAACTGGTACACAAGCCCCTCACTCAGTGATTTTTTGCGAGTGAACATGACAGATGTGTGTGGCACAGTGCGTGCAAATTGGAAACATATGCCCAGGTTTGACACTGGCACTCGTAGAGGTGAGGTGCAGGCGTTTGCTGCCGATGACATCATGGCATTTCGGTGGCATGACAAACGAGATGTCACACTGTTGTCATCAGTTCACCCTAATGAAATGGCAGACAGTGGCAGGCAGCATAGAGAGAGCAATGAACCCATTCTAAAACCTGCAGCTGTGATTGATTACACCTTCAACATGCGTTCAGTGGACAAATGTGACATGCAGATTGGGTTTGCTGATTGTGTTCGCAAGAGTTATAAGTGGTACATCAAACTGTTTTTCCATCTTCTGGACATTTCCATGCTCAATGCTTATAATATGTATAAGATGAGGACCAGAAACAAACCACAGTACGGCGAATTCTGTTTGTCTGTCATCAGACAAATAGTATTCAAGTACCAAGGAACAGCACCTGCAATAGACCGCCCACCAAATTATCAACAACTTCCTGCTCGTCTGAAGCATGGTGATCACTTCCTGGTAAAACTGCCTGCTACTGCTTTCAAGAAAAAGGCTCAGAAGAGGTGTTACGTCTGTGCACATGCAAAAAAACACCCACAACAACGCAGAGACACTCGTTTTATGTGTGAGGAGTGTAAAACACCACTGTGCATGACACCATGTTTCAAAGACTTCCACAGGCTGCAGAACTTCTAGAAACATTCCCTGTGACTGTTTATGTGTATATAAAATATAGAAAAATAGTAATAAACAACATTTCATATCGTTTGTTTGTGTAAATATTTTCTATAAACAAAATAATGACAACAGTGTTTATGCCCTTATTTTGTAGTATTGAAAAAGAAATAACTTACAAAATACTGATCATGTTGGCCTCAGAGGCCATAAAAGTTACTCAGAAAAAGAAGAATTGAAAATAGTACATAAAAAAGTAAATAGAAAAATACCGGGTGATGGCAGTCGGCGATGTTACCAGATGTTGTTCAATTTTGGCAAACTTCACGCCTCCATATCTCGGTAAGTATTGACGGTAAATTTTTTTTGTTTAGCCTATAATGTTTAGAAAAAAAAACTATTTTTCATAAGATTTTTTTTTTTTTTTTTTTTTTTTTTTTTAATTTGGCCGACCCTGAGAACGAGTTTCTGAGAGGGCCTGTCGACCCTCAAAGGGTTAAGTAGGTAATGTTACGTAAATAAATTTAACAGATTAGTATATCATTAAATTCAATACTGTCCTGCAAAATGCAAAATTTTATTCAGACTGATGAAAATGGACTAAAAGGAAATGTTTTTAAAAATTACCAAATGGGAACAAGTGTGAAAGGCTTTGAGGAAACAGGTAGTGATGTGTTTGAAGCAGAATTTGTCATTCTTCTCGTCAATCTTCCCTTTTCCCTTCCCCTCTGTCTTTCCCTCTCCTCCCTCTTTCCCTCTCCCCCTCTCTATAAAAAAAAGATAGCATATTGGATATTGTAAAAAAATTTAAGGGGGATTTCAAAATAGGCTTGAAATGTGAATTAATCTAATGGTTATAGTGCATTGGATGTTGGATGTTTGCTCATTGTGTTGTTTTTAATTATATTTTACATAAAAGCCTATCTTTGTCAGGGACCAGGAGAAGTTTGTGTTGTTATGTCTACAGCTGCTCAACACGCACCTGTCTTTAGCATTGACAGGTGGCATGACACAGGCTGTGCTGGGTTCTGAGGCATCGCCACTCAGGGAACTGCTCTTCAGGTATGCTCATTAATAACAATAATAATAATACAGTGGACCCCTGTATACGATATTAATCCGTTCCTGAGAGTTCATCGTATGCCAAAATTATCGGAAGGCGAATTAATTTTCCCCATAAGAAATAATGGAAATTAAATTAATCCGTGCAAGACACCCAAAAGTACTATAAAAAAAAAGTTTTACCACATGAAATACCTTAGTTTAATGCACACAAACTGAAGAAGACATGCACAGTTAATAGTACTCTACTAACAATAGAATACATGACACTTACCTTTAATGAAGATCTGGTGATGATTGATGGGATGGGAGGAGGGGAGAGTGTGGAAGTTATTGTTTAGAAGAGGAATCCCCTTCCATTAGGACTTGAGGTAGCAAGTCCTTTTCCGGGGTTACTTCCCTTCTTCTAATGCCACTAGGACCAGCTTGAGAGTCACTGGACCTCTGTCGCACAACAAATCTGTCCATAGAGCTCTGTACCTCCCATTCCTTTACGATTTGTCTAAAATGGGCCACAACATTGTCATTGTAATAGTCACCAACACGGCTTGCAATAGCTGTGTTAGGGTGATTTTCATCCATAAAGGTTTGCAGTTCAACCCACTTTGCACACATTTCCTTAATTTTTGAAGTAGGCACAATGGATTCCACAACTGGCATAAGCTTCTCAGGGTTAGCCCCAAACCCTTCAAAATCTTTCTTCATTTCCATACTAATTCTCACCCTTTTTACCACAGGGTTGGCACTAGAAGCTTTCTTGGGGCCCATGGTGACTTATTTTGCAGAAACAAGCACCAAAAACAGTGATATGGAATGTACTGAATGTATGCTTAGATGCGAGCACACTGGCTGGCTTGTAAACACTGGCACTCACGTGGACGCGTCCCGGACGAATCGTGTGTGGGGGTTTTCTTAACGAGTGGCGAGGCAAAATTTTGGCGTTAAAATGTATCGAATACCGAATTTAACGTATACTGATGCCATCGAATACCGGGGGTCCACTGTACTGTGGAACCTTGGTTTTCGTGTGCCCTAGTTGGAGACAATTCTTGGAGAAAATTCTCTATAAAATGGAGAGGGAGAGGGAGCATGGACACTGGGGTCATCCCACAGTTACTAAAAACAACAGACATAGCCCCACTCCACAAAGGTGGCAGTAAAGCAATAGCAAAGAACTACAGACCAATAGCGCTAACATCCCATGTCATAAAAATCTTTGAAAGGGTCTTAAGAAGCAAGATTGCCATCTATCTAGATACCCATCAGTTACACAACCCAGGGCAGCATGGGTTTAGAGCAGGTCGCTTCTGTCTGTCCCAACTACAGGATCACTACGACAAGGTCCTAGATGCACTAGAAGACAAAAAGAATGCAGATGTAATATGCACAGACTTGGCAAAAGTCTTCGACAAGCGTGACCGTGGCGTAATAGCGCACAAAATGCGTGCTAAAGGAATAACAGGAAAAGCTGGTTTTTGAACCGATTTGTTCAACAACTAGTCCGTTCGACAACTGAGGTCCACTGTACTGTACCCATTTGTTATTTATTTGGACTTAAAACAATAAATATATTCACTTCTCATTATAAGCTAAGGTTGAAAATATTTTAGGTAATGTGTGTCCTATATATGCATTTTTTAGGCATAGCTAATGCTTACTTAATGTGACAGTGTAAACATGTTATAAAGCTTTTATATGTAGTATTGAAAGTGAAAAAAAAGGGAAGTTCACTTTACAGCAGTAGCCCAGAATCTAACCTGCTGTATAAGCAGTGTGTACGTGTATTCTTTTCGTATTGACATTACTGTTTCAATTTACAGAGTTTTATTTAAAGTATGTACGTATTACATTTAATCTTATCTTCAGACTGACAAACATTGTCTATAAAGAGGAGTATGGTATATTATAGTTAGGTTGATTGTCATGTATAAATTGCAGTGGTACCTCAGGATACGAACTTATTTCGTTTCAGAAGGCTGCTCGAGTGCTGATACCGAACGAATTTGTTCCCATAAGGAATAATGTAAATTAGATTAATCCGTTTCAGACCCCCAAAAATGCACCTACAAGAGTACTTGCATAAATACACTTACATAATTGTTCGGGTTTTGAGCTGTTCGTTTCCCGAGGTACCACTGTACTTCTTAGAAAGTCCCTTTTTAATGCATAGCATTTCAGGCAGCTTTAGAACTAAATTAAGATTACAACTAACTGAGAAAAGGAATACATACATAGGTTTTAGAATATTGGAGGTATATCGTAATTTTTTTTTTTCCAGCAGACTGTCCGTATTCTACTGAGGCAGGGTGACCTAAAGAGCAACGGGTTACTAGCCCGTTGCTCCAATTATATCAAATTTACCATAAGAATAACCTAACTTCAACTTTACAGTGTTAAGTAATTTTAAGTTCTAGTTTGTCTGAAATGCTCTGTATATCTTGGAGCTTTTCAAAATGTACAAAATAAATGTTGCCTGATTTTGTAATGATTACGTACTATGATGTACAGATTGAAAATAAAATTTGATTGTAGGTGTTTTAAGTGGAGACCCCCACTGGTTAATGTTAAATAACTAATAAGCGATTGTTGGATAATCGATGATTTGTATAATTCTTTTTTAAATTATGTAATATCTCATGTGATTCAACATAATCACAGTAAACAGATATCCCAATATGCCAAACAACCACTGTGAAAAAATAGTGAAATTCCAAGCACTTTTGTGAAGTCTCACATTATCAAGAACCAGTGATAATCAGGTTTTCGACAATGTAAGAAATTACGAAAGCATTTGGAATTTCACTGTTTTTTTGAAGCGGTTGTTTTCCATCACGTGTGAATAATGCTAAAATCTTGAGAGATTGTCTTATTTCTCCTTTGATTTTTATAAAGGTTCATTCTTAACATACAGGCTAGTTGATGCCAAATTGCCTCGAGCCATAGAAGCTGGTGTGTGCGAGGGTCTGAGTTCGCCTTTACTTCTCCCTCCCTTGGCCTCGCGTATGAGTCTCCTCTATTGTCTTTTGCCAAAGTCACCGGAAGATTGGGGGCGGCTTTCTCGTGGTCAGGTAAAAATTCCAATTTTCAGACTGGTTATGCTGTTATAAAATATTTTTTGGGTATCTAATAGGTTTTGAATAGTATTCTTTATTAGCTATATATAAATGATATTTTCTTACAAGCTGCTAATTATGCAAGATAATCCACTGGTTTTATTAGGGTTTTTATATTGATGTAAGCAATGATTACAGCGTTTGCAGTTGGGTATTTTAGTGGTGAGTCTTGAGGACCATAGTCATGTTGCTGCGCTACTTGGGTATGGCTCTCCTGATGATGCCCCAACCCTCTGTCATCATACCTCAACTACTTTACCTCGGGACTTGATGCACACTTTACTGGCTAACCTCAGATTTCATACGGTGAGTACCTTTAAGTGGAGTACCTTGATATTGGTGAAGGACTCTTGATCCAAGGAATTTGATCTACCTGCCCCAGTCCAAGCAATTAGATCTACCTGCCTCTTCCTGGTGGCAAATCTGATTACTTCCCATTCCCCAGGTGCTCTATGGCCCTAACAGGTTTAGTACCTATGAATATAATTATACCTGTGTACCATTTTATTTAATGTATTGTAAAGAATGCACCTTCACTGATAAGATATTAGACCTCTAAATGATTATTTTGTTTCAGGAACATCAGCTGAACCAGATCCTCGAAGAAGAAAAACCAGGTAAAAAGGGACTAGTTAAAGGTAAATCTGCAACTCGCTATGAAGGTTTAAAAAGAAGAGACTCTGAAGCTTACAAGACTCGAGAGGAATGTCTAGCTAGTGGAGATTCAGATTCACATAAGGAGGAGACCCGGGATGAAGGTTTAGCCAGCAAGGACTCAGAACCTCATAAACCAGAAACTTCTGATGAGAATTTGGAAAATCAAGAATGCCAAGCTATCCTGCCACAAGCATCTGAAACTCCACAAAAGTGGTCAGCATCTTCAGCAGGTATGTATGGGAAATTAGCTTTTCCACTGGATAATATGTATGTATAGAAGTTGGTAGAGGTATGATGACTTATTGAACTTCAACATAATTACAAATTTATTTCAACATTCTTCATTTTTTTGAATAGAGGTATCCTGACAGTTAAATTTTCCTATATCTTTTTACCTTGTACTCGCAGAGAAAACTTTTAGAATAAAATTCACAATAGTGTGGTTGGAGCAATTTGCAACTACCCTTCAGTTTTAGTTAGGGAACTTGAGACAATGTGTTGCTTCATTCTGGATCATTATCAAGTCATTTGTGCATGATAAGGGTCCAAAATGTATCAAAGCAGTCTCTGAAGCTTTCTCTCAAAATTATGAGTTAATTGTAAGTAAAACTTGAGTTCATGGAGTGTGGTGATTTTTTTCAGGAGTTGATAGCAGTGAGGAACAAGGAAGCAGCCAAGATGAACGTGACACTGCACGTCAGTATATAGACTCAAGACTTGGGGGTACTCATCCTCAGCATCTTCTTCGACTTCTCTCAAACCTACATTCACACCTCCTGGCATACTGCACTCATCACCAGTTTGAAGAGGTATGTAATGAAATGATTGTAGCTGTAGGAGCAGAGCTAAGCTCGTGGCGTCCTGTCTTCAGTATTTGGTGTACAGGTGGGCCCCGCGTTACAACGTTTTGCTTTACGGCTTTTCGCTAATGCAGAAGTTTTCAATTATACTTTTTCTTTATTTATTCAGTCTTCTTACAATAAAAATATTCATTCTAATCTAAGGATGAAAATATTTTAAGGTAAGTAATGTGTGTACTATATATACTTTTTTATGCCTAACTCTATTGCTCATTTAATATTTAGATAGTGTAAACATGTTATCAGGCTTTTATATGCATTTGAATGTGAAAAAGGCTGTTCATTTTACAGCAGTAGCCTGGAACCTTACCTGCTTTATAAGCAGGGCCTACTTGTATAGTAAATTTCATAAAACTTCTCCCTTCTCTTATAAAATGTTCCATTGGTCTTTCATGCTGTTTGCTAAGAAAAACTTTCTAGTGTTGGCATCTCTTCCTTAGTCATGGTCTCTTTGTGCTAGTTGATGGAGCTAGAAAGTCTTCCTTGTTATTTCTTTCATTTTTATAATTTTAAATGTGGTTATTTTTTTTTTTTTTTCAGTGTTAACCATTACCCACCAAGGCAGCTAGATGTGAACATGGAAAGACATTCACAAACATTCATTCATTCACTTGGGTAATCAACTTTAGAATCATTAGCAGATATTTAAAGATATAAATTATACTTATGGTTGAGCTATTATCTGATTATTCAGATAATGCAGATAATGCAGCAGCGAGGAGACGGTTGGAGGCAGTGGAGATGTCCTGTTTAAGGGCAATGTGTGGTGTAAATATTATGCAGAAAATTCGGAGTGTGGAAATTAGGAAAAGGTGTGGAGTTAATAAAAGTATTAGTCAGAGGGCAGAAGAGGGGTTGTTGAGGTGGTTTGGTCATTTAGAGAGAATGGATCAAAGTAGAATGACATGGAAAGCATTTAAATCTATAGGGGAAGGAAGGCTGGGTAGGGGTCGTCCTCGAAAGGGTTGGAGAGAGGGGGTAAAGGAGGTTTTGTGGGCAAGGGGCTTGGACTTCCAGCAAGCGTGCGTGAGCGTGTTAGATAGGAGTGAATGGAGACGAATGGTACTTGGGACCTGACGAGCTGTTGGAGTGTGAGCAGGGTAATATTTAGTGAGGGGATTCAGGGAAACCGGTTATTTTCATATTGTCAGACTTGAGTCCTGGAAATGGGAAGTACAATGTCTGCACTTTAAAGGAGGGGTTTGGGATATTGGCAGTTTGGAGGGATATGTTGTGTATCTTTATACGTATATGCTTCTAAACTGTTGTATTCTGAGCACCTCTGCAAAAACAGTGATAATGTGCGAGTGTGGTGAAAGTGTTGAATGATGAAAGTATTTTCTTTTTGGGGATTTTCTTTCTTTTTTGGGTCACCCTGCCTCGGTGGGAGACGGCCGACTTGTTGGGGAAAAAAAAAAAATTAGTTTTCTGCTAAATCACTTGAAACTCCTGATATTTATTAGTTAATTATGTGTTAGCAGACCAGCTCTAACTTCAGAAATATTGTACAGTGCAATGGTCATTTAACACAATGTGAAGGGAGAAAACATGGTTTAAATCATGGTTTTTCTAGAAAATGTGCAATGTTTTTATTAATTATAAAAGTGAAGGGGGGGAGAAAATTTCTTTTTTTTTTTCAATTGTTATACATCTAAACTGTCATCTGTGTACCTCTGCAATGACAGTAATAGTGTAAATGATGGTGAAAGTGTTTCTTTTTTTTTAGGTTACCCTGCCTTGGTGGGAGACAGCCAGTGTGTTAAAAAAAAAGTAATTAAGAGAAACTTTTGCCAACAGAATTCGTCAAGTATGCGACTGTTATACGAACACTTGAGTGAACTGTTCGAGATGTGCGGTGCACTGCTCAGTCAGACGGCAAATCTTCTTGCTTCACATCCTGGACTGGCTCATCTCATTCATGGTAAGTATTTGTATAGTAATTTCACCTTGAACTTGCATGCTTTATTCGCAAATAACCGGGTGGGCATTGACCCCCGAAACCCTCCTTAGGTATACTCCAGGTATTTTTTTTTTTTTTTTTTTTTTCAATAAGTCGGCCGTCTCCCACCGAGGCAGGGTGACCCAAAAAAGAAAGAAAATCCCCAAAAAGAAAATACTTTCATCATCATTCAACACTTTCACCACACTCACACATTATCACTGTTTTTGCAGAGGTGCTCAGAATACAACAGTTTAGAAGCATACACAGATCGTCAGGTCCCAAATACCATTCGTCTCCATTCACTCCTATCTAACACGCTCACGCACGCTTGCTGGAAGTCCAAGCCCCTTGCCCACAAAACCTCCTTTACCCCCTCTCTCCAACCGTTTCGAGGACGACCCCTACCCCGCCTTCCTTCCCCTATAGATTTATATGCTTTCCATGTCATTCTACTTTGATCCATTCTCTCTAAATGACCAAACCACCTCAACAACCCCTCTTCTGCCCTCTGACTAATACTTTTATTAACTCCACACCTTTTCCTAATTTCCACACTCCGAATTTTCTGCATAATATGTACACCACACATTGCCCTTAAACAGGACATCTCCACTGCCTCCAACCATCTCCTCGCTGCTGCATTTACCACCCAAGCTTCACACCCATATAAGAGTGTTGGTACTACTATACTTTCATACATTCCCTTCTTTGCCTCCATAGATAATGTTTTTTGACTCCACATATACCTCAACGCACCACTCGCCTTTTTTCCCTCATCAATTCTATGATTAACCTCATCCTTCGTAAATCCATCCACCTACTCGTCAACTCCCAAGTATCGGAAAACAGGTATACATACACAAATAACCCCTACATAGGAGAAAGAAGCTTAGGACAACATTGTGGTCAGACTTGGACCATTAACTAGTCACACCATGTGTAGGACGGGAAACTTACGATGTCATTTTTGTCAATCCTGGTTCACTGTCAAGTTGGCAGTGGTTGCAAGTTGACATTGGTCTAGAATGGACCAAAACAGTTATAAGCTTTTTCTCGTAGTGTGGGGTTAATTGTGAATTGTTCCAATCCTGGTAACGTCTTTTATTCTACAGCCTCTTCTGTTCCTAGGAACATAGCGTTAAATGAATTCGTCGCTAAGTGAGGAGCATGCTATAGTGGTAGTGTGTGTGTGTCAGCCATCTTTGATATTGTTTTAATGTCACCCTTGCACCATTTATATGATTTCTGGTATATTTTTAAATGTTTATACAGTAATGTATATTGAAATAATCAGAATAGAGGAAAGCAGCTATAATATACTACATTATTTAGGTATAAATACTGGTCAGAGAGCTTGTCATAAGTCCGAAGCGTCGGTAAACGAGTGTGTCACTAAGTGAGGAGAGGCTGTACTTGCTTTGTTTGATCCACTCTTACTTGCAATGGAGAAACTTGTGCAACTAGTGGAGCTTTACATGGCTAATCCACAAATTTAATATCAAAACACCTCGAAATGGGAAAATGTTTGGCAAAACCTTTTTAAAATCACTAAGGACCCTTCATCAGTGTCATGTTAGGAAAAAAAATTAAGAAAAAGGCAAGACTAAGGTCAAGCAATACCTGTGTTTCTCTTGGGTAAATCTCTTATTTTCTCCATTTTTCCTAGTTTGGCACTGCCAAAGTATCCTTAGTACTTTTGAAAGACTGTTTTCTTGTCTCTGGAGGGTATTTTGATATACTGTGCATATTTACAGTTTGGATGGGCATCTGAAGTTAAGTATCTGTGCACCTCTGGCAAGACATTTATAGTGATTGATGGTGAAAGTTTTTTTTGGTCACCCTACCTTTGTAGGAGATGGCCAGTGTGTTAAATTTTTTTAATTAACTTGTTTGCTAAGGTGTGGTAATAGAAGAACATTTTGCAAGTGGTTATTGTATATTTCAGATGTTGTGTACCGCAGTGTGTGTGGCTGGGTTCTGGCCCATGTGGTGTATGCTCTGTTGCTCTTCCCAGCAAGACTTGTGCGCCCACTCCTGGCTCCTCTAAGAGCCATTCTTCCCATCCTGGACTCCACTAACCGCACAATAGCATCTGTAACCTCGTTTACTGACCAAGAGGATGTAACGTCAGGCAAGTATATGAAAATGGTCTGCAGTAGTGATATGTTGATTAGTAAATCTCATGTGCAGCATCACGTATCTTCATTAACAAAGTTTCATCAATAACGAAAACTTGTTTTGAACATGTTTTACTCGTCAGGCAAGCTTGTTCAGAGTTACTTCAGTTTATAAACTTGATTAAGATAGTAAGGTTATTTAGGTAAGATAGTAAGTTTATTTATGTACGATATTAAGTTTATTTAGGCACAGGTACACATATGTACAATTATCATATGTAGTGTAAATTACATGCAAGATTTCAGGTACATACGTCTTGCTACTTGTTCTGACACTTAGGTCACACTTCATATGCATGTACAAGCATATATATACACACCCCTCTGGGTTTTCTTCTATTTTCTTACTTGTTCTTGTTTATTTCCTCTTATCTCCATGGGGAAGTGGAATGGAATTATTCTTTCGTAAGCCATGCATGTTGTAAGAGGTGACTAAAATGCCGGGAGCAAGGGGCTAGTAACCTCTTCTCCTGTATATATTACTAAATGTAAAAGGAGAAACTTTCGTTTTTCCTTTTGGGCCACCCCACCACGGTGGGATACGGCTGGTGTGTTGAAAGAAAGAAGGATTTTCTTTTACTTCTTATATGGGGATGAATCTCAAGTGTGCCAGGATTACCAGATGTTCACATTCCCTCAGCACCACCACCTCTTATCCCTCCATCATCCTTTATCTCTGTCTTGCAGCCATGAAAAATGATAATAACTATGCTCATTACTTTATCAGCTGTGACCTCTCACCTTAGCCGATGTCCTTTCCTCGGCGCCTCCATTTTCCTCTACCATCTCTTTCATCTCTGTCGTGTAGTAATAAATACCCTTCTTTATAATGCATACTGTCTATGAATATAGCACTAATTATGACACTTTGGGTGTTGCAGAGGTTGACACCCCAACTCCCGACACTGTGAAGAGTGTAGGAGGAGGAGTAGTGGGTCGTCAGTGGGCGTGGCTGTTGGATGTGGAGCGAGCCTGTGGCTTAGTGGTGGGACGGTGTTTGGAAGGCATGCTGCTTGGTCCTCCTCTGACCTCTAAGGAGGTGCAAAGTAAACCTTGGCTTTCAATGCAACTTTTCTCCTGTGGACTGGCAGTAGTAAATATAAGCCCAGGTAGGGAGATGAATTTTGCATGTTCCACGAATATAATGATAATCATGAATTTGATAAAAATTTTTTTTTTTTTTCTCAACAAGTCAGCCGTCTCCCACCGAGGCAGGGTGACCCAAAAAAAAAGAAAGAAAATCCCCAAAAAGAAAATACTTTCATCATCATTCAACACTTTCACCACACTCACACATTATCACTGCTTTTGCAGAGGTGCTCAGAATATAACAGTTTAGAAGCATATACGTATAGAGATACACAACATATCCCTCCAAACTGCCAATATCCCAAACCCCTCCTTTAAAGTGCAGGCATTGTACTTCCCATTTCCAGGACTCAAGTCCGACTATATGAAAATCCCTTCACTAAATATTACCCTGCTCACACTCCAACAGATCGTAAGGTCCCAAGTATCATTCGTCTCCATTCACTCCTATCAAACACGCTCATGCACGCTTGCTGGAAGTTTCCAAAACCCCTCGCCCACAAAACCTCCTTTACCCCCTTTTTTCCAACCCTTTCGAGGACGACCCCTACCCCTCCTTCCTTCCCCTATAGGATTATATGCTTTCCATGTCATTCTACTTTGATCCATTCTCTCTAAATGACCAAACCACCTCAACAACCCCTCTTCAGCCCTCTGACTAATGCTTTTATTAACTCCACACCTTCTCCTAATTTCCACACTCCGAATTTTCTGCATATTTACACCACACATTGCCCTTAGACAGGACATCACTGCCTCCAACCGTCTCCTCGCTGCTGCATTTACCACCCAAGCTTCACATCCATATAAGAGTGTTGGTACTACTATACTTTCATACATTCCCTTCTTTGCCTCCATAGATAACGTTTTTTGACTCCACATATACCTCAACGCACCACTCACCTTTTTTCCCTCATCAATTCTATGATTAACCTCATCCTTCATAAATCCATCCGCCGACACGTCAACTCCCAAGTATCTGAAAACATTCACTTCTTCCATACTCCTCCTCCCCAATTTGATATCCAATTTTTCTTTATCTAAATCATTTGATACCCTCATCACCTTACTCTTTTCTATGTTCACTTTCAACTTTCTACCTTTACACACATTCTCAAACTCATCCACTAACCTTTGCAGTTTTTTCTATAGAATCTCCCATAAGCACAGTATCATCAGCAAAAAGTAACTGTGTCAATTCCCATTTTGAATTTGATTCCCCAAAATTTAATCCCACCCCTCTCCCGAACACCCTAGCATTTACTTCCTTTACAACCCCATCTATAAATATATTAAACAACCATGGTGACATTACACATCCCTGTCTAAGACCTACTTTTACCGGGAAGTAGTCTCCCTCTCTTCTACACACCCTAACCTGAGCCTCACTATCCTCATAAAAAACTCTTAACAGCATTTAGTAACTTACCACCTATTCCATATACTTGCAACATCTGCCACATTGCTCCTCTATCCACTCTATCATATGCCTTTTCTAAATCCATAAATGCAATAAAAACTTCCCTACCTTTATCTAAATACTGTTCACATATATACTTCAATAGGTAGTAGGTTGGTAGACAGCAACCGCCCAGGGAGGTACTACCGTCCTGCCAAGTGAGTGTAAAACGAAAGCCTGTAATTGTTTTACATGATGGTAGGATTGCTGGTGTCCTTTTTTCTGTCTCATGAACATGCAAGATTTCAGGTACGTCTTGCTACTTCTACTTACACTTAGGTCACACTACACATACATGTACAAGCACATATATACACACCCCTCTGGGTTTTCTTCTATTTTCTTTCTAGTTCTTATTCTTGTTTATTTCCTCTTATCTCCATGGGGAAGTGGAACAGAATTCTTCCTCCATAAGCCATGCGTGTTGTAAGAGGCGACTAAAATGCCGGGAGCAAGGGGCTAGTAACCTCTTCTCCTGTATATATTACTAAATGTAAAAGGAGAAACTTTCGTTTTTCCTTTTGGGCCACCCCGCCTTGGTGGGATACAGCCGGTGTGTTGAAAGAAAGAAAGATATATACTTCAATGTAAACACTTGATTTACACATCCCCTACCCACTCTGAAGTCTCCCTGCTCATCCGCAATCCTACATTCTGTCTTGCCTCTAATTCTTTCAGTTATAACCCTACCGTATACTTTTCCTGGTATACTCAGTAAACTTATTCCTCTATAATTTTTACAATCTCTTTTGTCCCCTTTCCCTTTATGTAAAGGGACTATACACGCTCTCCGCCAATCCCTAGGTACCTTCCCCTCTTTCATACATTTATTAAACAAAAGTACCAACCACTCCAACAATATATCCTCCCCTGCTTTTAACATTTCTGTCATGATCCCATCAGTTCCAGCTGCTTTACCCCCTTTCATTCTACGTAATGCCTCACGTACCTCCACCACACTTACATTCTGCTCTTCTTCGCTCCTAAAAGATAGTATACTTCCCTGGCCAGTGCATGAAATTACCGCCTCCCTTTCTTCCTCAACATTTAAAAGTTCCTCAAAATATTCTCGCCATCTACCTAATACCTCCCTCTCCCCATCTACTAACTCCCCTACTCTGTTTTTAACTGACAAATCCACACTTTCCCTAGGCTTTCTTAACTTGTTTAACTCACTCCAAAATTTTTTCTTATTTTCATTAAAATTTCTTGACAATGCCTCTCCCACTCTATCATCTGCTCTCCTTTTGCACTCTCTCACCACTCTCTTCACCTTTCTTTTACTCTCCATATACTCTGCTCTTCTTATAACACTTCTGCTTTGTAAAAACCTCTCATAAGCTACCTTTTTCTCTTTTATCACACCCTTTACTTCATCATTCCACCAATCACTCCTCTTTCCTCCTGCCCCCACCCTCCTATAGCCACAAACTTCTGCCCCACATTCTAATACTGCATTTTTAAAACTATTCCAACCCTCTTCAACCCCCCACTACTCATCTTTGCACTAGCCCACCTTTCTGCCAATAGTCGCTTATATCTCGCCCGAACTTCCTCCTCCCTTAGTTTATACACTCACCTCCCTCTTACTTGTTGTTGCCACCTTCCTCTTTTCCCATCTACCTCTTACTCTAACTGTAGCTACAACTAAATAATGATCCGATATATCAGTTGCCCCTCTATAAACATGTACGTCCTGGAGCCTACCCTTCAACCTTTTATCCACCAATACATAATCTAACAAACTACTTTCATTACGTGCTACATCATACCTTGTATATTTATTTATCCTCTTTTTCATAAAATATGTATTACTTATTACCAAATTTCTTTCTACACATAGCTCAATTAAAGGCTCCCCATTTACATTTACCTCTGGCACCCCAAATTTACCTACTACTCCCTCCATAACATTTTTACCCACTTTAGCATTGAAATCCTCAACCACCATTACTCTCACTCTTGATTCAAAACTCCCCACGCATTCACTCAACATTTCCCAGAATCTCTCTCTCTCCTCTACACTTCTCTCTTCTCCAGGTGCATACACTCTTACTATAACCCACTTTTTACATCCAATCTTTATTTTACTCCACATAATCCTTGAATTTATACATTTGTAGTCCCTCTTTTCCTGCCATAGCTTATCCTTCAACGTTATTGCTACTCCTTCTTTAGCTCTAACTCTATTTGAAACCCCTGACCTAATCCCATTTATTCCTCTCCATTGAAACTCTCCCACCCCCTTCAGCTTTGTTTCACTTAAAGCCAGGACATCCAGCTTCTTCTCATTCATAACATCCACAATCATCTCTTTCTTATCATTTGCTTCAAATGCTCATAAAGAGTAACATTCTAAGTGACTGATGTAGAAAACTGAAATTCTAATTTTTTTTTCTCCAACAAACTGGTTGCATCCTACCGAGGCAGGATGACTTAAAAAAAAAAACAATTGCAAGTTTTTCTTTTTAAATTTAGTAATTTATACAGAAAGGGTTACTAGCCCCTTACTCCCGGCATTTTAGTCGCTTCTTACAACACGCATGACCTACAAAGTTAGGATTCTTTTCCACTTTCCCATGGAGTCTAATTTATTTATATAAAGAAAATGGTTATTAATATATAGTTCATATTTTAAATTTTACTATGCTAGGAAAAATATTTATATATTCATAAGTTATATCATGGAAGCATGGGGCTAGTAACCTCTTCTGCTGTATAAATTACTAAATTTAAAAAGAAAAACTTGCATTTTTTTTTCCTTTTTAAATCATCCTGCCTCGGTGGGATATGGCCGGTTCGTTGAAAAAAAAAGTTATATGTTCAATTTAAAACCACCCCAAAAATGTGAAATATTGTATCTTTTAAACATTGTTTTGGTCTATCTAAAGATTTATATCTGCTGTATTTTGGGTTGTGAATTGCTGCAGCCAGGTATTGTGATATGTTGTTTACATGTACTGTGAATAGACTTCTTCAGTACATCAGTGGATGGTGCGCATGAATTGTGTAGCTGTAGTAGGAAAAATTAGTATCTTCCTGACAATCGAGAGTCAAGACGCCTATTTTAAATCTTCGTAGTGTACTTTTGGGTTGAATGCCATTCTTTGTGTCATGAAATTGTAATGAATTAGGTATGAATAAGGCATTTTCCTGTCAGTTCCACATGCTGTTTGCTGGTAGGGAAACTAGTGGTGGAACAACAGCTCTTGATTTCATTGTTTGCTTATGCTGGTTATGCAGTGTTACCCATGATGTACTGTATGGACCCATCTGATCTTACATTCTTTTTCAAATTCATCTCTCATTCTTTCCTTTTTTTTTATTCCAGAAAAAGTGAGTACCTCCATTGAGCATATATTGAGCATTCTGGAGTGTGGGAAGGAAGTGGTAGTGGAAGCCTTGCATAATTTTGCGACGACCTACACTCAGCTTGCTACTCCACTCATTACCGTCCTTGAATCAAGTAAGTTTTGGATTACATGTAATAATTTTTTTCATGGGTACATAGTTGGGCAGCTGGTTACAGGAGGTATCCAATTTACAAATGCTCCCAAGTCACACAAAGCAGCACTTACCATTGCTTCAAATTACACATTTACACTGGCGATCACACTGCGACAAATGCAATCATTGGATGATTGCACACAAAATGAGGGCCATAGGTATTTATAGGGAAGGTATACACACAAAATGAGGGCCATAGGTATCTGTGGGGAAGGTAGATGAATTTTCAAATTTCTGATAGACAGAACATGTATAAATCATGGGACACAATTTGTTTAATAAAATTGACAAAGTGAAATTTACACAGCTCAGAGTGAGTTATGAACTGCTTTTATAAAGCCCATCAGTTGCTATCTTTCTTTAGAGATTGTTGCAAAACTCTCTAACTTTACATTTATATTCCTCCAGACCTTTCTTCAGTAAACAAAGCAGAATCCAGCATTAGAAGGATAAAAAGCACAGTACCTCAAGACACCGTCCTGGTGCCTCTGTTGTTTCTTATCCTCATAGAAGACATATTTAAAATAACTCTCCACAGTTTTGTATTATAATTTGCAGATGATGCCAAAATAAGCATGAAAAGTCACCTTGGTAGAAGACACTGAAAAATTGCTGGAAGATATAAGCATTGTTTTCCAGTGGGCAGTGGAGAACAGCATGACATTCTGTGGTGATAAGTTCCAACTGCTTAGGTATGGAAAGAATGAAGAACTCATAGAGGACACCGTATACAAAATATAAGAGGATCGTCAAACAGGATGAAGGGGACATGTGAAAGACCTGGGAATAATTGTCAGCTGTCCTTTTAAAGAACACAACATGGCAAATGTCATGACTCATGATAGCCATGAAGATGACTGGGTGGATAATGAGAACCTTCAAAACAAGGGAAATGGTACCATTGGTGACACTTTTTTCAAATAGCTTGTATTCTCTTGAGAATATGTATTGTTCATTGTTGATGGCCCCATTCTTTGCATGCACGTGAGAGAGATAGAGATAAAGAGAGAGAGATAGAGCTAAAGAGAGAGAGATAGAGCTAAAGAGAGAGAGATAGAGCTAAAGAGAGAGAGATAGAGCTAAAGAGAGAGAGATAGAGCTAAAGAGAGAGAGATAGAGCTAAAGAGAGAGAGATAGAGCTAAAGAGAGAGAGATAGAGCTAAAGAGAGAGAGATAGAGCTAAAGAGAGAGAGATAGAGTTAAAGAGAGAGAGATAGAGTTAAAGAGAGAGAGATAGAGCTAAAGAGAGAGAGATAGAGCTAAAGAGAGAGAGATAGAGCTAAAGAGAGAGATATAGAGCTAAAGAGAGAGAGATAGAGCTAAAGAGAGAGAGATAGAGCTAAAGAGAGAGAGATAGAGCTAAAGAGAGAGAGATAGAGCTAAAGAAAGAGAGATAGAGCTAAAGAGAGAGAGATAGAGATAGGGAGAGATAGAGAGAGATAAAGAGAGAGAGATAGATAAAGAAAGATTTTTTTTACACAGTGTTTGACAGGGTTAGGTTAAGGATTCTTAACTTTATTGGCAAGCTAAGAGCTGTTACCTACATCAGCTCATTTGAAAGCATTTTTGTTGTTATGAGACATACAAGTAGGGAACAGGATGAAGTTGGAGCCATCTGTGGGCCAGCATTTTCATTTGATCAACTGACTTTATCTCGTTGATGTCATTATGCTGTACGAATGTGTTCCAGACTCGAGTCATCCTGGGTATATATGATCTCAGATGAAGTGATGTTCTGGAGAAGGGTACAGCCAGAGTGAAGTTGCTGCTTTCTGCCCGTCTTGTGGCATAAAAGCTTGTTTTCACGCTGTCCTCGAAGTGGATCCAAGTGTGGTACTTTGACAATATTGGCTTTGTACATAACAGTAAGGCCACCCACATCCCTCTTGTGTTGAAGGCTCTGCTGAAATGACAGATCTATCCAGGATTGGTCCAGGCTTTACTCTGTCAAGCAGTCGCAGATGAGAAGGGGGGCAGGCTAACCAAGAAAGTGGAGCATACTCAAGGTGTGAGTGTACTTGTGCCTCGTACAGAATCTTGCAAGCCCTACTGTCAAACAGATGCGAGATACGGCGAAGTGCTGTAAGCTTCCTGTCATTTCAGCAGAGCCTTCAACACAGGAGGGATGTGGGTGGCCTTACTGTTTTGTACAAGGCCAAAATTGTCAAAGTACCACACTTGGATCCACTTCGAGGACAGCGTGAAGCAAGTTTCTATACGGGCAGAGAGCAGCAACTTCACTCTGGGTGTACCCTTCTCCAGAACATCACTTCATCTAAGATCATTTATCCCCAGGATGACTTGAGTATGGAACACATTCGTACAGCATTATGATGTCAATAAGATAGTCAGTTGATCAGATGAAAATGCTGTCCCACAGATGGCTCCAACTTCATTCTGTTCCCTACTTGTATGTTTCATAACAATAAAAATGCTTTCAAATGAGCTGATGTAGGTAACAGCTCTTAGCTTGCCAATAAAGTTAGGAATCCTTAGCCTGTAAATAGCTTGTTAATAAAGCTAGGGATCCTTAACCTAATCTTGTCAAACCCTGTGTAAGAAAAAAATAGAGATAAAGATAGAGATAGTGAAATAGAGATAGAGATAGAGCTAGAGAAAGATAAAAGAGAGATAGAGATAAGTGATAAAGAGAGAGATATAGAAATAGAGATAGATACCCCGCTACTTATGAACAGGTTTGGTCTTGAGCGGTCGTTAATAAGTAGTACATTTGTTTGTGCTTAACACCAGACATATTAGGGGTATAATAATCACAAATAACACACGTATAGTAGGTTACATTTAACCTGTAAACGGTCCAAACGTATATATACGTTCTCTCGTGTAGTGCCCCAAATTTTTTTAGAAAAAAAAAAAGTTTTTTTAATAGGAAAAAAGAGCATATGGTACCCAGGCATCCCCAATTATTTTAATACAGTGCACAGTGAGTGCGCACACCCATTCTCTCATGTTTAGGCGACTCAGGCTTATCGTGGCAGTGTTGAATGTATGACAAATAAAACGTAGATATACGTTTGGGGCACTAGCGGTAAAAACGTATATATACATTTGGACCGTTTACGGATTAAACTTATAAATACCACAAGCTGAATACAGTCCTTTACATATATGACCCAAATAGTGTTACAGGAGTTGAGCTACAGTACTGATGCATGTAAAACCCATCCATCCTTTGCATTCTTTGTTTTTACAAACATCTCATTTGTAAGTTGAATTACCTTGAACACAGCTTGTATTTAAATGGGTGGCTTTCTGTATATGTAGTATTTTCCATTGTAAATGCAAAATTTATCATGATACGAATAGAAACTACTACTGCATACACATTGCCATACCATAGTTTGAGTATACATGCTGATTGCTTTATTCGGATTTTGCTCTATGCAGATTTGTTTTTTGTGAGATGTTTTGTTAATATGCAGAGTTCCATATATGCAAGGAGTGTGTGATCAATGTGGTTTGTGAAGTGTATCAGTGTTTTATTAATGTGGAAAGTGGAACAGAATTCTTCCTCCGTAAGCAATGCGTGATGTAAGAGGCGACTAAAATGTCGGGAGCAAGGGGCTAGTAACCCCTTCTCCTGTATATATTACTAAAGATAAAAGGAGAAACTTTAGTTTTTCCTTTTGGGCCACCCTGCCTTGGTGGGATACTGCCAGTGTGTTGAAAGAAAGATAGATTTATAGCTTGATTAAATGTACTGCAGTATGGTGATATCTTTATGCATGCACAATACACTAATAACCCCCACATCGGAGAATGAAACTTGTGATGATGTTTTGGTCTGACCTGTGCCATTAACTAGAGGGACTGAAATGTCATTGTAAGTTTTGTTCTCCTGTGTGCGAGATGTTTGTGCATTGTTCCAGTCATGTTATTGTGCCATTTTGTTCTTTTTGGCATGCACAATTCTTGACACTTGCTGTATCCCAGAGAGTCAGGTGACGCTATGGATGGACGAGATGGCTTGTGGAGAGGATTGGGACACTTGTGAGGTAAAGGAAGATCTTCTCTTGGACATCACTACCCAGCTGCTGCTCTCCACCTTCCTCCTGCAGACGGGGGTCTCTCAAACACAACTTGGGTACGTTGTATTTCTCACATTTAGAGAGATAGTTTATATCTTTGTAATGGTTACAGTGTGAGATTACAGCTTAGGTTTGCTAAGTACAAAGAAAGCCACTATCATGCCGGGGCATTTCAGACAGACTGATCCTAGTACGTACATAATGACTAACTTAAATCTAGACAAGATAAGAGTGGTTAACCTGTATTAAAACCTTCATTTAGCCTTAATACTAATGCAAGGTTGTCAAGGTGGAATTTTATAGGAATAATAATCTTGAAGTTGCACATAAAAAATATTACAAATAATGGTTCAAACAGTAATATTTCATGGATTGGCAGATGTTTAATAGACTAGAGGTCATATATAATATAATATTTGGGAGAGTTGCTTCAGCTGATTAGAAGTTGTTTTGGTTGGTTTAGTTAGTACTGAGACATGAGATGATTTTTAAGTAAAGTCCTAAATTTATAAGTAGTCAGGGGATCCTTTACCAGTTCAGGTAGTGAATTCCAGATCTTCAGGTCCTTTATATGCATTATATTTTTACATAGTGTGAGACTGACATGAGGGATGTCGAAGAGTGCCTTATGCCTTGTGTTGTGACTGCGTTCTGTTGTAGCTATCAAGGTGAAATTTAAGTGGAGGGTTTATATTTGAGTTTAATGTTTTGCATATGTTGTAGGCACAATAAAATATGTGTCTCATATATTTAGTAAGTTCAGGCTTTTGAAAAGTGGTGGTGTGTGCTGTCTAGCACAGGAGCTGGTATTCATCCGAACAACAGATTTTTGTTGGGTTATTAAAGGTTTAAGGTGGCTGGCTGTGGTTGATCCTCAGGCACAAATACCATAGGTGAGATAGGGATATATTAAAAGAGTGGTATAGGGTAAGGTGTCATTTGGGGTACATAATATCATATCTTGGAAAGGATGCCTACTGATTTGGAAATTTTCTTGGAGATATGATGGATGTGGGAATAAAATTTAAGATTGCAGTCAAGAAGACCTAGAAATTTACCCTCATTGTGTCTTGTAATAGGGGAACCATTTATTGATATATTAAGTTGGATATTTAAGGCTGCTTCCAAACAGCATGAAGTATGTTTTGTCTGTGTTGAGAGTGAGTTTGTTAGTCATCATCCAATACGTGTATACATTTTTAGCAGCTCGTTGTTTACAGTGTCTCTAAGTATAGCTGGGTTTGAGTGGGAGTAGACATAAATAGTGTCATCTGAGAATAGAACTGGTTTAAGGAGTTTAGATGCATTGGGGAGATCATTGATGTAAACGAGAAAGAGGAGTGGGCCTAGGGCACTAACCTGGGGCACTCAGACAGCTACAGGCTGAATAGTGGAACTGACTTCATTTGTGTATACATACTGGTGTCTATTGTTAAGATAAGATTTGGGGTAATTGAGGGAATGTCCTCTGATGCTGTAATGATTTAGTTTTAGGTGCAGGAGATTGTGGTCCATTGTATCAAAAGTAAGGCAAGTTTGATATAGGTCTGTAGTTGTTCAAATCAGTTGGATCACCTCCTTTGAGGATCGGGGTGACCCTTTGCTGTCTTGAGTATAGATGGGAAGGTTGAGGATTCTACAGATTTGTTAAACATTGTTGCGATAATGGGTGACTGCACATGAGCTGCTTTTTTATATATGAATGGTGGTAAGTTATTTAGATCTTCTTCTTTGTTTTTTAATGATTTAATGATGAGTGAGACTTCAGTAGAATTAGTTGGAGCTAGATATAGAGTACACCTACCATCCGACTTAAGACAGAGTTCGGTTCCAAGAAACCGGTCGTAAGTCGAAATGGCCGTAAGTCGAACTTTACTACTGAATATCAACAAAACATTTTTGTAATGACTTTATTTTGTTTTATTTTGGTATTTCATGTTTTACTTTACTTTTTATGTTGTTAGTACTGTATTTTATACTGTAAGGTTTAGGATAAACACTGTGTACAACAGAAATAGTTGTTTATTTCCCAGAAATTTGGCATAAAAAACACGGTCATAAGTCGAGTGGTCGTAAGTCGAGCAGGTCGTAAGTCGGATGGTAGGTGTATTTGGGTAGTTGCCAGTGAGGTAGTCTTTTGCTGGGTATTTGAGCTTGGAATTTTGCTTGCTAGCTTTGATCCTACAGTAGCGAAGAAGACGTTAAATTTGTTGGCCGTGTCTATAGGCTGTATGTGAGGTTCATCTGGTTCAATAAAGTTTATCTCTCTGTTTCTAGACAGATTCTAGAGCCCAAACTTTTGGAGAGGGTTTGCCAGGTCCCTTTCATATCACCTTTTATTTCAATAAATCTATAGGGAAAGGAAGGCGGGGTAGGGGTCGTCCTCGAAAGGGTTGGAGAGAGGGGGTAAAGAAGGTTTTGTGGGTAAGGGGCTTGGACTTCCAGCAAGCGTGCGTGAGCGTGTTAGATAGTGAATGGAGACGAATGGTACTTGGGACCTGACGTTCTGTTGGAGTGTGAGCAGGGTAATATTTAGTGAAGGGATTCAGGGAAACCGGTTATTTTCATATAGTCGGACTTGAGTCCTGGAAATGGGAAGTACAATGCCTGCACTTTAAAGGAGGGTTTTGGGATATTGGCAGTTTGGAGGGATATGTTGTGTATCTTTATATGTGTATGCTTCTAGACTGTTGTATTCTGAGCACCTCTGCAAAAACAGTGATAATGTGCGAGTGTGGTGAAAGTGTTGAATGATGATGAAAGTATTTTCTTTTTGGGGATTTTCTTTCTTTTTTGGGTCACCCTGCCTCGGTGGGAGACGACCGACTTGTTGAAAAAAAAAAAAAAAAAAATCTGTTTTTGTAATGCATTTGCTTTGATTTTCGTATTACAGTGGAACCTTGAGTTTTGGCTGTAATCTGTTCCAGGAGCTAGGCCTAAACTCGAAATGGCCTAAAGTCGAAGCAATATTTCCTATAAGAAATAATGTAAATAAAATTAATCCGTTCCAGACCCACAAAAATATTCACAAAAAGGGCATTTTTTAAAGATTAACTATAGTTTAACATACATATAGTACTTAAATGAGTAATACAATACATAAATAAACATTTGAAATCACATTTACGTACCATTATTGAAGAGTCTTTCTGGTATCTGGAAGATGGGGGGGGAGGAGAGAGGGAGGAATTATTGTTTGGAAGGGGAATCCCCTTCAATAAAGACTTTAGGTAACAAGTCCTTATCTGGGGTTACTTCTCTTCTTTGTCTTTTAATGCCACTAGGACCAGCTTGAGAGTCACTGGACCCCTGTCACACAAAATAACTTTTGAGAGTGCTCCTTTCCTGGCATCTCTTTAAGATTTGCCTAAAATGGGACATTGTTTTGTCACTGAGCATGTTGCAGAGATGGCTTGTTTCAGCTTGCTCAGGGTGGTATTTTTCCACAAAACTTTGCAACTTAATCCACATTCCACACATGTCCTTAACCACTGAAGAAGGCACCTCCTTCACTCCCTCTTCCTCCTCCTCTGAAGCAAGTTTCTCATGGTGGCTTATTTCACAGTCACAATCAGTAAACAAGCACTAAATGCAATGAATTTATGTATTGTGAAATGTTTGGATGAGCGCACAGGGTAATGTTCTCTCAAGGATAAGCAAAGCTAGACTGGCGCATGGCGCCTACCGCACAGGTGCGGGCAGGCAGACAGGCCTGATACTCCGGCTGAAACACGGGGCACAGGCCTAAACTTGGGACAATTTTAGCCGAAAAAATCTGTTGAAACTCGAAGCGGCCGATGCTCAGGGCAGCTGAAACTCGGGGTTCCACTGTAGTTTTCTGAGTATTGACGTGTACCGATTAGCCAGTTCTTTAGTAATCTGGCCTAATTTGAACAGTTTTTCAAGTTGGTGCTTTTTATCAATGGATTTGAGGATACTATTTGTTAGCCATGGGCTGTTTAGTCTCTGCTGTGATCTGCTTCATTTTGATTGAACAATATCTGTTATAGAGGTTTTGGGTTTTATGTAAAAAAGTTTTGACATTTTTGTCAATATTGCTGTCAGCTAGCTCTCTGCCAATCATTGTCACCTAGGGCTAGTATTAAATTATTTACCGATGGCTCTTTATTCAGGCGAAATGAGATCTTTCTCGAGTCTTGAGGCAATTTACGTAAGTTGGTTATGAGAAAGGTGGGGTAGTGGCTTGTAGTGTTGTCTGTGATTATACCTGCTTGTAGTGGAGATATCGTGTTGATCCAGATATGCTCAAGTAATGAGGCACTTGTCTCAGATTCTTGTTGGCTTAGTTATGGAAGGTAGCAGCAAGTAGTTGTTCATAGTGTTTGTGAAATCAGCTACTGAAGGGTCAGTTGATTGGATGAGGTTTATGTTGAAGTCTCCTGTAAGTATCAGGTGGTGTGTAATCAATTCTGAGTCAGTTATCCTTTTTCTAAGGTTACCACTAAAAGTGTAAGTATTTGTGTGTGCTAATCTGTAGACTATTATAGTTTTTTTTTTTAAGTTTTTAGATGTGAATTTAACTGTTATATATTCACCATTGTCGTCCCTTGTCCAAGTAAATTTCATACATTCCATACACAAATAACCTGCACATAGAAGAGAGGAGTTTGTGACGACATTTCGGGTTATTTGTGTATCGTTCCAGTCACAGTATTGTGCCTTTTTTTTGTTACTCATACATTCCAGTTTGTCAGAGTAGTAGATGGCAGTGCCTTCCCCTAGTTGGTCAGGCCTGCAATTATGTATGGCTGTGTAACTAGGTATGGTAAATATGTCTGTCAAATCTTGTTTGAGCCAGGTTTCAGTAAGAATAATGAAAGTTATAGTAGCATTTAGAGACTTCAGTAATGCAATGAGGTCTTCATAGTGTTTACTCAATGATCTAACATTATAGTTAAAAACTGTCATGTTCTTGCTGGCACTATGTAGAGTTTTAGCCTGACTGGCAGTGTAGTAATGGCAATTACGTTAGGATTATTTGTGCAGTTCAGTAAGATGTTGATATCAGGATTGATATTTGTATTTATAAAAATAAGGGAGGATGTAAATAGGTATCTACGGAAGATACACATACAGAAATAAGCTGTTGCAATTATCAAAAAATAAAAATCATTGACTGTTAACCACTAACAAATATGATGATGTGATAATAACTATTTTCCAGGAAGATACATTGGCTACACTAGTGGATACACCAATGTTGTAAGTTTCAAGCTGATCAGAAGAGATGTTCTCAAGTTATCATGTGGAAACTAAAATTGGGAGTGGTGGTGGTGGTTGTGAAATTGTCTAGGTGACATCTGTGCAAGCCATTAGTTCCATGAACATTCCATTACAGTTCACTTGTGTTGAAAATTTTAAGCTAATAAAATAAAGCATTCAAGTTTTAATCAAAAATCTTTAGGGAAATAAGAGCTGGTAACCCCTAAGGTACAGTACCTCTGGGGAGACCTAATAAAACTGAAATGAAACTTTGCTATCTTTATGACATGGTTGTAGTTTCAGTGAAATTATAATTGAAAAAGTAATTTATTATTTATTTTAAAGCCTTTTGTACTACATTGCCCATCTCCCATGAAGGGCTATTAAAGTCCCACGTACAGTTTTGTGAACTAGTACAGTGGAACCTCGGCTTACGAATTCGGTCTGTTCCATGAACTTGTTTGTATCCTGATTTGTTGGTATGCTAGGTCAATTTTCCTCATTTAAATTAATTGAAATGCAATTAATTTGTTCCAGCTGAGTTCCTGCTCTCAGGAGGCATGACAAAATAACCCTATTATCAACTCTACGGCTTATTTATCTGTCACAATTCATCTAATATGGCATAATAAACAGTATAAATAACATAGAAACCTGATATACATCTAGAATGAATAAAATATGTCATTACTTGGACAGCGGAGGGAAGAGGATTGTGGTCATGAGAGTGGTCGCGCATTTTCGTTATGAAAACGTCAAGAGGTGTTAATATAAGAGAAACCAGTTTGTAAGGCTGAATTAGATCTGGTGCACATACGACATTTACATACCTTGGAGAAGAAATGCAGAGTGGCAGATCCTGTCAGGAGTTCAATAGTATTTATATTTATCTCGCTACACTACGTATCTCATGTGAGCTGTTTCTCAGTCAACCATGTCAACAGCAGCTTTTCCATCTTTTCATTGACAAGGGTCCGTTGTTTAGGAATTACTGTAACACCCTTTCCTGGCGCTATAGCTTTTATAGGCTCCTGCTTTAGTATTGTATGTATATTAGAGGGGCTACGCTTGTACTCACTCACCAAGTCCTTAACCCTCGTTCCTAGTCTGTGCTTATCAATGATTTCTTGTTTTAATTCCATGCAAATCATCATCTTTTTCTTCTCAGCACTGTCCTTTGCACTTGCTTTCTTAATACCCATGATTAGAAGAAAAAAAATCTGATGAATTAACTGCATGAAACGTAAGGAAATCATGAGACTTCCTTGCACCGTGAGGATAGCTCTGTAAGCACATGTGCACTGGTGACCATTGTCGTGGTGCAGACTGAATTATATGCAGTACGTACGTAGTAGTAGTATTATAATTATTATTGTACTATTATGTATTATATTATTATTATATTGTTGTTGTTATACATTATTATTACATATTTTCATTATTAGTAGTACATACGTATAATAATAATAATAATAATAATCATTATTGATTTATTATTGATTTAGATAAAGAAAAATTGGATATCAAATTGGGGAGGAGTATGGAAGAAGTGAATGTTTTCAGATACTTGGGAGTTGACGTGTCGGCGGATGGATTTATGAAGGATGAGGTTAATCATAGAATTGATGAGGGAAAAAAAGTGAGTGGTGCGTTGAGGTATATGTGGAGTTAAAAAACGTTATCTGTGGAGGCAAAGAAGGGAATGTATGAAAGTATAGTAGTACCAACACTCTTATATGGGCGTGAAGCTTGGGTTGTGAATGCAGCAGCGAGGAGGCGGTTGGAGGCAGTGACGTCCTGTCTAAGGGCAATGTGCGGTGTAAATATTATGCAGAAAATTTGGAGTATGGAAATTAGGAGAAGGTGTGGAGTTAATAAAAGCATTAGTCAGAGGGCTGAAGAGGGGTTGTTGAGGTGGTTTGGTCATTTAGAGAGAATGGATCAAAGTAGAATGACATGGAGAGCATTTAAATCTGTAGAAGGAAGGCTGGGTAGGGGTCGTCCTCGAAAAGGTTGGAAGGAAGGGGTAAGGGAGGTTTTGTGGGCAAGGGGCTTGGACTTCCAGCAGGAGTGCATGAGCGTGTTCGATAGGAGTGAATGGAGACGAATGGTATTTGGGGCCTGACGATCTGTTGGAGTGTGAGCAGGGTAATATTTAGTGAAGGGATTCAGGGAAACCAGTTATTTTTATATAGCCGGACTTGAGTCCTGGAAATGGGAAGTACAATGCCTGCACTCTAAAGGAGGGATTTCGGGATATTAGCAGTTTGGAGGGATATGTTGTGTATCTTTATACGTATGTGCTTCTGAACTGTTGTGTTTTGAGCACCTGTAAAAACAGTGATTATGTGTGAGTGAGGTGAAAGTGTTGAATGATGATGAAAGTATTTTCTTTTTGGGGATTTCCTTTCTTTTTTGTTTCACCCTGCCTCGGTGGGAGACGGCCGACTTGTTGAAAAAAAAAGTCATTATTATAACAATAATAATAATACAATATAATAGTAATAGTTATAGGTAGTAGGTTGGTAGACAGCAACCGCCCAGGGAGGTACTACCGTCCTGCCAAGTGAGTGTAAAACGAAAGCCTGTAATTGTTTTACATGATGGTAGGATTGCTGGTGTCCTTTTTTCTGTCTCATGAACATGCAAGATTTCAGGTACGTCTTGCTACTTCTACTTACACTTAGGTCACACTACACATACATGTACAAGCACATATATACACACCCCTCTGGGTTTTCTTCTATTTTCTTTCTAGTTCTTATTCTTGTTTATTTCCTCTTATCTCCATGGGGAAGTGGAACAGAATTCTTCCTCCGTAAGCCATGCGTGTTGTAAGAGGCAACTAAAATGCCGGGAGCAAGGGGCTAGTAACCTCTTCTCCTGTATATATTACTAAATGTAAAAGGAGAAACTTTCGTTTTTCCTTTTGGGCCACCCCGCCTCGGTGGGATACGGCCGGTGTGTTGAAAGAAAGAAAGAAGAATAGTAATAGTAATAATAACAGTAAGGAGAAACTTCAGAAGGCTGCCAGTAGTTGGTGCCACCATCAGCAAAACATTGGTAACCACTACTAGTACACTTTTCACCTGTCTAGACTTGAGTAGTCTCTTGGTATTAGGTTGTCTGCCCGAAATACCTCAGCTTGATAGTGGCTTTCTTTGCTTCAATTATATTATATGTAAATACACACTGTAACCTTTGCAAAGAAATAAATATTTTTATTTATTTATTTAAGGAACCTCCCTTGAGGGGTAAGTTTGCATCCTGAAATTTCCTTCGTATCCAGGAGCAAAAAATCGACCAAATGACGGTTCATATCCTGCAAAAGTTCGCATGGTGGGGCATTCGTAAGCCGAGGTTCCACTGTAGTATATAGTTTGAGAGTGTAGTTTGCCTTTTATTTACATGTAGCCCACAGTTTGGAGAGAGAACTTTAGACAGTGTTTCAATCTCTTCTAGACCATTACAGTATCAAGTCTGCATATATCGTAGATCAATACCTGATTCTTTGGCTTTTTTTTGTTTTTATAACACACACGCCATCTTCCACCGAGGCAGCAGGGTGATTTGTAAAAGAAGAAATGAAAATATTTCTTTTTTACATTTAGTAATGTATACAGGAGAAGGGGTTACTAGCCCTTCTCCTGGCATTCTAATTTCCTCTTGTAACACATGGCTTACGGAGGAAGAATTCTTTTGTCCCCTTCCCCATAGATTGGGCAAAATGTAGAGGGGTCATTTAGTAATACGTATTTGTATGCACTTACAATTCATATGTGGTTTTTGTGTGCTTTGTATCAGAGTTCTACTTCTTGGTTACATTAATGGCAAAAATCAATCCTCATTACTCATATTTTTGTCTCAAATATACGTACAAATAACATTAATCTCATTGTGTTATAATTGTAATACCACCTTTGGCCTTTATCTTTCTTATTAACATGAGACAGAAATGCTGCAGAATTACACTCATTAATTTGTATTTGTATTAATATCATCCTTAAGAATCAGATGGTATAATTAAGTGTTTAAAACTCCCATTAATAAATTATGAAGTTTGAAAGGTAACAATAATTGAAATGTCCTTGTTTTCCAGCGTGCATTACTGTAATATCATGAGAGAAATTTTCCGACTGGTTTATCACATTAGACGCCGGCTAGTCACTCTGAAGACTCAAGAAACCTCAGGTAGGACTTAGAGTTGAAGATTACAGTACTGTAGTGACATTTATGGTGTCTTTCAAAATTGAGAAAAGTTAAAATAGTGTGTCATATAATTGTGCAAATGTGTAACAAAGAATAAGGTAAGATGAGCTAAAATTTGTTTTTAACCCAGAGGGTTAGCCACCCAGGATAACCAAGAAAGTCAGTGCATCATTGAGTACTGTCTGTCTTATTTCCATTGGAATCCTTCAGTCTTGTTCCCCAGGATGCCACCCACATCAGTCGGCTAAGACAAGTACCTACCTACTTACTGCTAGGTGAACAGGGACAGGTGTAAGGAAACATGACCAATATTTCCACTTGTGTCGGGGATTGAACCACGGACAGTGTGTAAGGCAAGTGCACTGCCAGCTAAGCCCTGGGACACTGCTGGCAAAATTATTGCTGCCAAGAATAATATGGTTATTATTGTTCATTGTTTGCTTTTATAATACAGTAAATAATAATAATAATACGTAATAATATTAATGGTGAAAGTGTTTGTTTTGGGTCATCCTGCCTCAGTGGAAGACAGCCAGTATGTTAAAAAAATAATAAGTATTAATAATAATAATAGACTAGGTATTTATATCAATGTCGACAGTGTGGGGTAAAGACAAACATGAAATACTTGGGACATTTTGCCGGAATTGTTAAATGTTGATGAAGATAGGGAAGCTGTGATTTCATGTACAGGGCAAGGAAGAATAACATCTTGTAGGAGTGAGGAAGAGCCAGTTGTGAGTGTGGGGGAAGTTCGTGAGGTAGTAGGTAAAATGAAAGTGGGTAAGGCAGCCGGGATTGATGGGATAAAAATAGAAATGTTAAAAGCAGGTGAGGATATAGTTTTGGGGTGGTTGGTGCTATTATTTAATAAATGTGTTGAAGAGGGTAAGGTACCTAGGGGTTGATAGAGAGTGCATAGTTCCTTTGTTTAAAAGCAAAGGGGACAAAAGAGTGCAAAAATTGTAGGGGAATAAGCCTGTTGGGTATACCTGGAAAAGAGTATAGTAGTTTTTTTTTTTTTTTTTTTTTCCAACAAGTCGGCCGTCTCCCACCGAGGCAGGGTGACCCAAAAAAGAAAGAAAATCCCCAAAAAGAAAATACTTTCATCATCATTCAACACTTTCACCACACTCACACATTATCACTGCTTTTGCAGAGGTGCTCAGAATACAACAGTTTAGAAGCATATACGTATGAAGATACACAACATATCCCTCCAAACTGCCAATATCCCAAATCCCTCCTTTAAAGTGCAGGCATTGTATAGTAGAGTTATTATTGAAAAAATTAAGAGTAAGACGGAGAGTAGGATAGACGAACAAGGAGGCTTTAAGAAAGGCAGGGGGTGTGTAGACCAAGTGTTTACAATGAAACATAAAGGTGAACAGTATTTAGATAAGGATAAAGAGGTTTTTGTGACATTTATGGATTTGGAAAAGGCATATGACAGGGTGGATAGAGGGTCAATGTGGCAGATGTTGCAAATGTATGGAATAGGAGGTAGGTTATTGAAAGCAGTGAAGAGTTTTTATGAGGATAGTGAGGCTCAGGTTAGAGTATGTAGGAAAGAGGGAGATTATTTCCCAGTAAAAGTAGGTCTTAGACAGGGATGTGTGATGTCATCGTGGTTGTTCAGTGTATTTATAGATGGGGTTGTAAGAAAAGTGAATGCGTGGGTGTTGGCAAGAGGTGTGGGGTTGAAAGATAGAGAATCTAATACAAGGTGGGAGTTGTCACAGTTGCGCTTTGCAGATGATGCTGTGCTTTTGGAAGATTCTGAAGAGAAGTTGTAGAGGTTAGTGGATGAGTTTGGTAGGGTTTGTAAAAGAAAATTAAAAGTGAATATAGGAAAGGGTAAGGTGATGAGGATAAAAAAAAAAATTAGGTGATGTAAGATTGGATATCAGATTTGAGGGAGAGAGTATGGAGGAGGTGAATGTATTCAGATATTTAAGAGTGGACGTGTCAGCAGATGGGTCTATGAAAGTTGAGGTGAATTATACAATTGATGAGGGTAAAAAGGTGATTGGTGCACTTAGGAGTCTGTGGAAACAAAGGACTTTCGCCATGAAAGCAAAGAGTGGAATGTATGAGAGTATAGTTATACCAATGCTCTTATGTGGGTGTGATGCATGGGTGGTGACTGTTGCAACAAGGAGAAGGCTGGAGATGATGTCCAATGTGTGGTGTGAATATAATGCAGAGAATTTGTAGTTTGGAAATTAGGAGGTGCGGGATTACCAAAACTATTATCCAGAGGGTTGAGGAGGGGTTGTTGAGGTGGTTTGGACGTGTAGAGGGGATGGAAGGAAATAGAATGACTTTGAGAGTGTGTAAATCTGTAGTGGAGGGAAGGCAGGATAGGGGTCTGCCACATAAAGGTTGGAGGGAAGGGGTAAAGGAGGTTTTGTGCGCAGAGGGCTTGGACTTCCAGCAAGCATGCGTGAGCATGTTAGATAGGGGTGAATGGAGACAGATGGATTTTAGGACTTGATGTGCTGTTTGAATGTGAGCAAGGTAACATTTATGAAGGGATTCAAGGAAACCGGCAGGCCGGATTTGAGTCCTGAAGATGGGAAGTAGTGTCTGCACTCTGAAGGAGGGGTGTTAATGTTGCAATTTTATAGCTGTAGTGTAAGCATTCCTCTGGCAAGACAGTGATGGAGTGAATGATGATGAAAGTTTTTCTTTTTCGAGCCGCCCTACCTTGGTGGGAGACGGCCGATGTATAATAAAAAATAAAATTTGTTGAGGAAATGTTTCGCCCATTGAGGCTTTGTCAACATTGTACAGAATTTACTGAACAAATGGCTTGAGTAGTAGAGAGGAGTTGGGCATGATGACAGTAGTATGTGCTGTGTGACTGGGGCCATGTCTTACAAACGCTCTATCTTGAGGTACAATCGTTTTTGAGAGTACAGTACATCAAAGATGCTGAATCTCCCTAGAGTTTTGTTCATCTCTGTTAGATATTGCTAACATTACTGTTTCTAAGCATTGCCATCTCTGTCGGTCATCCTTTTAATTTACAGACTAGCCTTATCCCATTTCATAAGATGTTCTTGAGTGCTGTGATGTACAGATGCTCCTCACTTTATGATGGCTTGACATATGATATTTCAACTTTGAGGGTGCAAAAGCACCATTGTAAAGCACTGTACAGTACTGTGCAGTTAATGATAGGATAAACTTGTATTTATTTACTTTTGAATATTGTATTTAGTTTTTTTTTTTTTTTTTTTTTTTTTCTTCCCCAACAAGTCGGCCGTCTCCCACCGAGGCAGGGTGACCCAAAAAAAGAAAGAAATCCCCAAAAAGAAAATACTTTCATCTCTTTTAACACTTTCACACCACTCACACATTATCACTGTTTTTGCAGGGTGCTCAGAATACAACAGCTTAGAAGCATATACATATATACGTATAAAGATACACAACATATCCCTCCAAACTGCTAATATCCCAAACCCCTCCTTTAAAGTGCAGGCATTGTACTTCCCATTTCCAGGACTCAAGTCCCACTATATAAAAATAACCGGTTTCTCTGAATCCCTTCACTAAATATTACCCTGCTCACACTCCAACAGATCATCAGGTCCCAAATAACATTCGTCTCCATTCACTCCTATCTAACACGCTCATGCACGCTTGCTGGAAGTCCAAGCCCCTCGCCCACAAAACCTCCTTTACCCCTCTCTCCAACCCTTTCAAGGACGACCCCTACCCCCCCTTCCTTCCCCCATAGATTTATATGCTTCCATGTCATTCTACTTTGATCCATTCTCTCTAAATGCCAAAACCCACCTAAACCCAACCCTCTTCTCCCCTTTGACTTTAAAAACTTTTTTTTAACAAAAACCCCCTTTTCCAAATTTTCCAACATTCGAATTTTCTGCTTTAATATTTACCCCCACACATTCCCCTTAGACAGGACTTCTCCACGCCTCCAACCCGGGTCCCTCGTGCTGCATTTACCCCCAAGTTTCACACCCTTATAAGAGTTTTGGTAAAACTATACTTTCTTTACTTTCCCCTTTCCCTTTCCCTTTCCAAAAAAGAAAACTTTTTTTAAATCCACATATACCTCAATGCACCACTCACCTTTTTTTCTTTTCCATTCTATGATTAACCTATTTCAAAAATCCTCTGCCGACCGTCAACTCCCAAGTATTTTAAAAAATTTTTCACTTCTTCCATACTTCCCCCAAAATTTTTGGATACCCAATTTTTTTTATCAAAAATCATTTGATACCCTCTTTCCCCTTACTCTTTTCAAAGTTCACTTTAACTTTCTCCTTTACCACTTTTCCCAAAACTCGTCCACAAAACCTTTGCAAATTTTTCTTTAGAATCTTTTTTAAGCACCAGTATCATCAGAAAAAAAGTAACTGGGGTCAATTCCCTTTTTGAATTTGTTTCCCCCAAAATTTTTATCCCACCCTCCCCGAACACCCTGCTTTTACTTCTTTTACCCCCCCCATCTATCAAAAATTTTAAAACAACCATGGTAAATTTTACACACCCCTGTCTAAGCCCTTTTTTTTACGGGAAGTAGTCCCCCCTCTCTTTTTACACCCCCTAACCTGAGTGGGGAAGGCTTACTCAGCCCTTTTTAAAAACTTCAGATATTTATTCCCCAGGCTGGTCCTCCTCGGGAAAAATTAATGAATAGAAAAAAGAAATAATAACAGACAAACAAAAAACCCTTTATTATTTTAAAAAAATTTTAAAAATTAAAACACTTAAATATGAAATATTAATCCTACATTGGGGGAAAATTTAAAAAATAAAAATAAAAAAATGAAAAACTAAATTTTAAACGAAATTTAAAAAACTTGGGTTTTGGGTGTTGTTTGCCCACTGCTTGTTAAAATCTTTAAGCCTTTGCAAAATGTTTTTTGGGGGGGGGGGGTTTTGCAGGTTTTGGTTTAAAACCCCCACGGGTTTAGCCCCTTCACAGTCTACCCTTGAGAAATTCT